CAATGAAAGTTTATTGAAGTAAATATTTAGAACTTATGCTGTACAGTGATTTTGAAATTTCATCACTTAGTTTCTAATATTAAGGAAACAGGATTCGTCAAGAATGATTGATTTTAATGTAATAAAATGATTTATCACTGTATATCAAAAAATGTATAACACATTTATTTTTAAGATTAATTTAAAATAACATTTGTATATCCCATTTACCTGTTGAACATATTTACATCAATGATTCGTTCATCTCTTTACTATAAAAAAGTATAATGATTTAACCAACTATTCATTACATTTTGTATGCGATTCATTCTTCCTAAAAAATTATTTTACTATAAAATAACAAATTCTCATTAAATATCAGTTATGTTACGAAATATGTATTGTCAAATTTAGATGGGATAATACTTATTTAACAGTATATTTTTGGTTATACTAAAGTATTCCCAACATATAACACTTGGAAGCATTTTACCTTACTTCTTGCTTACTCCTGTTACCCCTCGTGGAGCATAGGCCGCCAACCAGCATAGCATTTACTTATCTTAAATATTCTTTCAGTTGGTGAACATTAGGAATAAACCTATCTAAATAATAGCTAGTTACAGTTTATTGATATTCACAGAAGTTTATAAACAATTCATCTTCTTTGATACATTTTCTTTTCGCATTTTATATATTTGATACATGAATTCTAATATGGTCAAAACTTGTTTCGACAGTGAATAGAAAGAGAAAATATACATACAACTGTGGTAATGTTAAATAGTAATTGAAAATCTCACTGAAATTTCTTAATATTTATTTATCGTGAAGTGAATATTTCTTTTCAATCACATAGTGAAGTCTTGAAGGTGTCTGTCAAATAGCAACCCTAAAGGTACATTATGCATATCAAAGTTCTGTTATAAATATTAAGAATTAGATTCTATGGTAATCAGTTTGATAGTTTTTTGATATTACACGCTAACTTAGTTTGATAAATTTGATGCCCACATTAATCTTGTAAATAATCAACAGGTAATACTCTTTAATGCATCTTTAATGCCAAAATTACTTGGTCAAACTGAAGATAAACAAATAGTACTTGAAGGGAAAAAGTATTTCATCATACTGTCTTTACAACATGAATTATAGTATATTAATAAACGTATCTATAGGCTGGACATCAAATTAGGCTGATCGAAGTAAGCAGAAAGTAAGGACAGATGGATTTTTCTTCATAAGCCCGATAAACTATTCTAATTATCTAACAATTATCTTAAGAAATATTATGTTGAAAAACTTATATAAATGTGGTCAAAGCGCATTCCTCTAGTACAGAATTTTTTAGGTTCAACATTTATGTTGACTAATTAACCAGTAATATTAATTATGGATGCAAATAGTGTTTTAGCATTATCAGAATTATTTTCGTTATTTAGAGACGGTTTTTATGCGATAAAAATTCTTAAAGTCGATAAAATAAATCACATATCAATTTTCTGGAATAATAGTATGAACACAAAAAATGTGATGAAGTGTTTGTATGAAGACTAGAAAACAATATCATTATATACTTTAAAGGCTGACCAAACAGTAACTAAGTATTATGTTTTAAAATTACTTACTAATATCATGTGGCAAGCCACCAATCACAGTTCTAATTTTAATTGCTGTGCATTCTGTGTCTACTATCGCCTCTATAGCTTAGTGTCTCCAATTTGACCAGTCGTACGGCCTACCAGCACTACTGACCTTGAGCCGATGCAGTTAAGTTCCTATTAGGCCGTCATTCTCAAGCTTCTGAGTTTTGCCTTGAGTAGAAAATTCAACAGCAAGCCTTTACTATACTTATATTTCTAACAAATGTGAATTACATACAGACATAGTGGACTGCGTCATGTCATAAAATACAAAATAACAACAGTATATTGACGAGCCAGGTGGCTGTGAATATGGAAAATATGAATAGGAAAAAATTAAGAATAATAAGTCATATTATAGTAATTTATGGGTTACGCGAACGTTTATGATAAACATACATATACATAGTAATCTAGCTACCCCGTAATCGCACGAAGTTATGGTTAATAATAATTCGACAACCAGTTTCAACTGTTACAATATTCGTCCCTCTATAACAACAAACATAAAGCTGAGTCCTATTTGTATCTTCGTTTAATTATAGTAACTATTAAACATAAGAACGTCGAGATTTACACTACTGTAGTGTGTTATTAGTGTAGACAGGCGACCGCAGTAGAAATTACTTTTGAACCTAATGAAATAGATATTAGAAAATCCATAAGCACAAATCTTCAGTGATGTTTCAAAGTAACTCTAAATGAAAATTTATTTTGTTCGCATAGTTAATTGGATGGAACTAGAAAAGAAGGCCCAGGACAGAGTGGGTTGGAGAATGCTGGTCAGCGGCCTATGCTCCATTGGGAGTAACAGGCGTAAGTAAGTAAGTAAGTAAGTTAATAAAAAGGATTATGGTAAATCCATTCCGAGTCAGTTGAAAGTAAGATACTATTGTTGGAAATATAAAGTCATTTGATCGTCTTAAATAAATAATTATGAAACTTTTTACTGATTAAAATTAAAACCTGTATCTATAAAGACGTTATTCAGTTTTGTAATAAAAATGTGACTAACTCAAAAAACAAGTCAACATTTCTGTAACCAAGACGATGCGTGGAAGACTCGACTGTTGGTACGCAAGTTGGGAAGGATTGAACATGCACGTTATACTGACGATATATTGCTAAATTTACCTCGAGAGCTCAGTTTCGAGGAGACGGTAATGCAGTTGTCAGAGATATTCGGTGAGTCATCCTCATTGTTTAGTATTCGATATCGGTGTGTAAATTTGGTGAAACGCTAAGCCGATGAATATGGTGTTCTAGCAGACATCGTCAACAGAATGTGAGCGGTTCAAGTTACGCGCTCGTTGAGAGATGACCAACTTAAATGCTTAATATTCATCAAAGCTCTTCAGTCACCACAAGATGCTGAGATCAGGACCAGACTTTTGGCTCGACTGGATCAAGACCCAAAAGTCACACTCAGAACATTGACAGATGAGTGTAAGCGGCTACAAAGCATCAGACACAACGAGTTGATTGAACAGGCAAATCCTAACTTAACCTGCAGTAGTGTCAATGCTATTACTAGGTTAAAGGTTCGGAAGCCAATAACAACTCATAACAAACCAACGATTACATGCTGGTTATGTGGTGAGTGGCATTATGTACGATTCTGTCCATTTAAGAAGCATAAATGTCAGGTGTGCAACAGACATGGACATAAAGACGGTCATTGTCCACCGAATCGTACGTCGCGGCCCAAGAAGAAGCGTAAGCGTCCTCCTAACACCAGATCCTACGAATCTGCTCAAAGGGGAGGTGTTAGCGCGACATAGACTGGATTTAAGCATGCTCAATTGCTTTGGTGCACGCTGATTGGCTAATTCTTATCCAATCAGCACTAGTCGATAGTTGGAGAATACTCTAGAATCTTCTCATGTTAAAACCATAAACATACTAACGTTTTCTCTATTGTGCTTCTTACTTCCATCCAAATTTGTTATTTGGAATATAATCTCTTTCCTGTTCAATCGTGTTCTGATTTGGGGACTTGTCGAGTGAATCGGTGTCCGAGAATACTAAGCAATAGGAATAGCTGGGTCATAACTGTAAGAAAGAGATTATAACACAGTGGTACCCTGCGACTTGGTATTTTATTCGTAAATCAGAATGACATTACGTGAATAACGACTATACACGTAGTCTTCTAATGGAAGTTTAGGAAAGTTGGGATTTCTATGAGTCATCAGTCATGTGAAAAAGTACAGTAACCTAGTAATTACATATATTGTTAGTAGTGTAGATGGCTTAAGATACATAAATCCAATCTATAGTCTTTGAAAAATTTTAATGAGATAAGTGGATGTGCTGAAAACTAATACATGCTAGATTCATGTGTTGTTTAATGCCACGCATTTGACAACAATATTATAGACCCTAACCACTACCATTAACATGCTTCAGTGGGCCAAATGTAGTAATCATATATTTTCAACAAAAAACTAACCATTCAACAAGCGAAGTTCCACTATATATATTTATATACATCTGGAAGCAAAGTAACACAGATAGTTTCACAAACAAACAAAACTACACACTAATGAAACGTACGACTGACAACGTTGGTCAGTTAAACAAATAAAAATTTCTACAGATTTATACGGAGCAGAAAAGTATAGGCATAAAATATAAATATATATGTGTTGTTTATAATCAGAAGAAATTCATTCACCTGAAAGTGGAAAAAAACAGACATTATTGTTAGAGAAAAAATAAGAAATCTGTTGAAAAGTGTGAAAAGGTTAAACGTAAACTAGATGACAGAATAAAATAGTATAGATCAGGAAAGAATCAAGGAAAGGAACAAGAATACTCAACACTGAACCTCGGATTAAAAAACGTTATCTATAATCTAATTTCTATAAGACATTAAATAGAAAAATTATCACAGTCTGACTGAAAACGAGATACAATGTAAAGAAAAAAAGAGATAGTTAAAAAAAGTTTTGAAGAACAATGTGATAAGAAACGAGAGAGATTCGCTGGGAATTACTTTGTTTTCACCTGACAAACACAATGTTACATGGAAAGTTGTGAAACAGGTAATCCCATTTAATTACTTACATTATTCTTAGCTGTAAAGTAAACGACGAGAAAAAAACAAGTTCTATACACCACTGATGATCGTTATAGGAAATATATATGTATATATACACTCCTCTTGTTTCTTCCTTTCTGTAATTGCACACAAGCAGTGTTTAAACACTGCGATAGAAAGAAAATAGAGCACCTAGTTATAGAATCTACGAAGAGAAAAAACAGAAGAAAAACAACCTCGAGGGGGGTGAAAGAAAATATCGTCTTTGCACAAAACAAAATTCTGGACATTGGAGTTATTATTATCACCAACATTAGGAATATGATACCGACTGATTAGCCAGGTGTTAGTTTGACTTTATTTTGAATAGGTAATGGATGCGCTTCAGAATTGAACACCCATCTATCAAGCGGTAATAATGTATCTTCTGAAAATATTAAATAAAGGTATTTCAGTGTTTCTGCTAAGAAATATGACTGCTGAACATCATCTAAAGTAGAGTTAGTAGAGTAAACGTCACGTAAACCAGAATAGCCAGCATTTGTACGAGCATACTTTTCAATAGCCTGAAACAATAAACGCATAGCAAAAAACATTAAAGACCAAATAAATAAAATTATACGATTAAAAGAGAAATATGCATCACAGTCATTACAATTGGTCGATCACTAAGAAGAGATTACTGCTGTATGTGCCTGGTCCTATAAATAGTAATTAGATTCTAGTGAAGAAGTTGCGATGTGGAAGTTAGTTTAGGTGCTTTAAAATCACGTGAATTTTACCGAGATTTTGGTTGGTTGAAGGTAGTCAACAGGAAACCCCGGAATCCGACGGGAACTGGTGCTCTCAACGAGATTCATAACCCGGCCAGTTTCCTTAGGATATGAAAATGGTTCTAATCCCACAGACAGCATCAGGATTAGATGTACGCCTTTCTCATTAGTACCAGCCAGTCAGCTACAACGTAGGACCAGGCACATAAATGCATCGGTCCACACATGTCACACATCATTAGCACAACAACATCAACAAAGTCATTGAACCACTTATTTCAATGATAGTAAAATATATGAAAAAAATTGAATATAAGGATATGATGCAAGGAGAAACAATTAGGTTGTAGAAAGAAAGGTACAAAGTAATTTTATTCCAACGGTTTAAGGAAAGACAGAGAGTGTATAAACCTACACAATTCTCATCGATTGTGAACAATGACACAAACAGTCTCCAACCAACGGTTTTACGACAATTACGAGGATCTCAACAGAGAAGTCTGCATCTACCAGCATGGCTCAGACTAGAAGTTAGCGACTTTGTGGAATGATTTCATGTCAGCATTGCGCGTAGTGGTAATCGGTGTTCAGTTACACGTAACACGTGGCCCAACCATCTCAGTCCATGAAAATTCACAACATCATAAACCGATTTACTATCATTCCCTAATACTCAGAGTCTCACCTCACCATTACTTACTCGGTGATCCCAGCAGATGTGGGCAATATTTCTAAGACAACAGTGACAAAATACTAGTAACTTACGAGTATTATCTACCCTTAATAGTCACGTATCGCAGACATAAAGTAAAACGAAACGAACAGATGCGCAGCATATTCATTCCTTAATCGATAAACGGATATCTCGTCTTCGTCTTAGGTGACATAAGTTGACAAAGTCCGAACAACCTTTTTGAATCAGTGTAGAGATTTCATCAAACACCAACCAATTAGGGTTGGTCAGACTTCCAACATAATTGAAGTCGTCGACGGGTTCGCTATTTCTCTCCCTATCCTTAGTTCAGGTGTTGATGTAGGCCAGTACCAACTAGTAGAAAACCAAGATTTAGGGTTTCTCGTCAAAGAAGTTCGACCACTTTACGTATTTATATAATGTAAAATTATTTAGTAGGATAAAGTAATCATCTAAAACATTAGATCAGCTCTACGGAGATGGAAGCCAGTTTTTTCCATATTTTAATTGCTGCAGGTTGGAGCAGATAACAGTATATATAATACAAAAGCTCTTGAAGGGATTATTAAACTCTTTTGAATCAAGAGTTGATAAATCATCACTGATAGATCATTTTTAAAAAATGGTGCATTCAACCATGAACTAATTATATTTACGAGGCATTCGAATTTCGTAAGTGAATGTACAAACAGATCCTATTTTATATTCCAGAGGATTTAACAGTGAAAAAAAACTAATTTAAACAAATATTTACTAAATATTATTTTAAATAAGACCATCCACTACCAATTTATGATAATTCTGTACGAGTTAAAAACCAAGATTTTGTGGGCCTATCAAAGCCATAAGGTTGATGAAGTTCAATTGAATTCAACGTGGTTAGCAAATAAATAAATAATAGTAATCATTTCCAGTTTCTTGTCAATTACAGATATATGAAATCCGTTTTTTTTTTACAATATTCGTGTAAAGGTTAATTATATTACCCGATTGATTAGACAGAATTAGATGGTGCGACTTTCAGATTTAATGAGTCAAAACCAAGTGTTTTAATGACTGAGCTATTCGCTTAGTTAATCGGCTGATTACTATCGAACTACAATACAGAGAAAATCCTGATACGTTCTATCAGAATAATAGTTATCGTCAGAAAATGAGGGAAAAAATATAAAGTTCACAATGACATAATTGCATGACTAAGTTATGGTAGATAACTTTTTTGATTCAAATTTATCAGAATATCTTATTTGTATTTCTTGTCAATATAATATTTAAAATTATGTAATCAAAAAATACTGATATGTTATAGCAGCAAATAACTTTATGATTGAAAATTATTGTATATATTTTTTAAGTTCTTTTCAGTTATCGAGTTTAGCATTTAGAGAATATGCATGATGACATTTACGAAATTTGCATTGTGCCTGGTATATATGTAATTCATTACGAGAAGCTACAATGGTCTTCTGATATTACTAGATTAGACATGAGTTCATTTAAATAAGGCTGAGATAAGCATACTCTTTGAAAATGTATCATCTGATAATTTGAAGAAACGACGGAAAAGAGTTAATAATTTATGCAAAATTTTATAATCACCACAGCTACCTGAACTACATCCCATGCCCAAACACGATACTTTGGATCTTTAGTTAGTCGCCATAAATAGAAATACGATTCCACTGTTTCTGGTCGCAGAAGATACACTTTGTGAGATTGAGTAATCGCAACAGCAGAAGACTGATCAGTAAATGAAAATGTTTCTGGACCAAGACCTGTTGATGCACTATCGTAACTTCTTTTACAAGTATCAGTAATTTCAACACCACGTTGAAACCATGGATCATTTTTATCTGATGCACCGAGAGAGAGCATACCGCCTACATAATAAAAATAATAATAGAGTAATTAACAATAATCAACACCATAAGATCAGAAACTAAGGAGCATTAATTCACGAAGTATCAATATTAAGATCCCTGAATATTTACATCAGTCTATCAAATAAATACACGAACTGAGATCATACAAATGTCACTACAAAATTCTTAGTATACCAATCTTAGAATCTTATTCTCATTAATGGCAATACGACTGTTTCATCTCAACTTCTATTACTTGAAAAAATTATTGATATTTCTCAGAAATCAAGTTCTTCAGTTGTTTTGTCATTTCAAGTCCGTATCGTTAAACCTCGCATGTATATTTCCGGTCTCGGGAACGAAAAGAAATTGTTGAAAGCTCAACCTGGTGAGTAGTAAGGTGATTGAATTCAGGTTATAGACTATAAGATAACCACTGCTAAATGTGAAGGAGAATCGGGGTGATCTAACAAATATTTCGATAATGTAATTAGAAGACGAAGATTATCAGAACTATGTGATATATTAGCGCAATACATTTCGAACAATCTGATCATACATATACTTGTTAAGAGCATTTATATATAAAAATAAATGGTCAACTAGACTGGAAACAGGGTAAGAAGAGATAAGAATAATGATAAGAGTAATAATAATAATAATGTGAACACAGTTCGTAACATAATCACTCTGGATAATAAGTCAATATTACCAGGGTAGGTTTAAGGTAAGAACAAACTGTTTTTGAACACACAAAGGGGGTTTGAATTTTCGTATGGCTAAGGCTTCAATAAACCTTAGTATACGCCTTTTTACACTTTTATACAATACCACAAAAGCTGAGTTTAAATCAATCTTGTGACCTGTTTCAATTATATGTTTAGCAATAGAGGATAAATGTTAATAGAAAATGGCTATCCTCTGAAAATCATAAATAGATGGAAAGTCCATGGTACAGCGAGACCTACTGTAGCCTCGGTAGAGAAAAAGCCTGTCTACATCATCTTACCGTTCAAAGGTGATTCAAATAGCCTTTTATTGAAACAAAGACTTAAATCAGTCATCAATAAAACGTATTGCGCAGCAAAGGTTATCATCAAAGAAAGAACAAGATGCATGCTTCATTCAAAACCTAAAAGACATGAAGACGATTGTGTCACATCCCACTGTGTTTACCAATCTAAATGTGTGTGTGGTCACACATACACAGGGAGGAGCAATCGTGATCTCAACATTAGGGTGAGTGAACATATACCCAAATGGTCGCAGAAACAAATAGAGTCAAGTGACCCAATAAAAGCAAGGGTGTTTATCCATCATCCTCTATCGCTAAACATATAAATGAAACAGGTCACAAGATTGATTTAAACTCAGCTTTTGTGGTATTGTATAAAAGTGTAAAAAGGCGTATACTAAGGTTTATTGAAGCCTTAGCCATACGAAAATTCAAACCCCCTTTGTGTGTTCAAAAACAGTTTGTTCTTACCTTAAACCTACCCTGGTAATATTGACTTATTATCCAGAGTGATTATGTTACGAACTGTGTTCACATTATTATTATTATTACTCTTATCATTATTCTTATCTCTTCTTACCCTGTTTCCAGTCTAGTTGACCATTTATTTTTATATATAAATGCTCTTAACAAGTATATGTATGATCAGATTGTTCGAAATGTATTGCGCTAATATATCACATAGTTATGATAATCTTCGTCTTCTAATTACATTATCGAAATTGTTTTAACAAATATTTCTCATTTGTTAATATTCAAATGATAAGCAGTAAATAAATAAAAAAAACCAGTTGATACTTACCAACAAAACAAGCCAGATGATCCATTGAATTGGAAATAGTGCCATACTTGTAGTTGCCAACATAAAGTAAATTATGTTGAGGACTTTTATGAAATAAACCAACTTTTAAGAATGATTCTAAACTAGATTTGTATAGTTCAAGAGCTTTCACATCTTTATGATCAGTACGAATCCATTCTTTTAATAAATATTCATAAAATGAATCACCTAATGCAGAGAGACCAGCTTCATTACCACACCATGATTTTGTATTCGGATCCATATAATTAAGAAATAACCCATTAGGCTTGTTCACTTCTTCCAAAACCTTACGAATAGCATCAACCTAATATGAAGACAAGACCGTGGATAGAAAACAAAATTATAATAAAAATTATGTTAATCTATTTTCATAGCGTTTCATCTAGTTAAAGGATTAATATTTAGAAGTTTATGTGCATGTAGACTACTAAATAATACTTCGATAATGCAATGAGAAGACGTAGTTTATCAGAATTATGTTATATATTTGCGCAATACATTTCGAACAATCTGATCACACATATACTTGTTAAGAACATTTATATATGGAAAATTAAAAGGTCAACTAGACAGGTTAAGGGTAAGTCATAACAAAGGAAAAATATTAAAGTACACAAAAACAAATGTGATTACCACTCTGGATAGTAAATAAGTACTACCAGGGTAGGTTAAGTGTAAGTACAAATTGTTTTTGAACACATAAAGGGGGTTTCAATTTTCGTATAGCCAAGGCTTCAATAAACCTTAGTATACGTCCTTGAAGGCTTTTGTACAACACAACAAATGCTGATTTGATATCAACCTTATATATAAATGTTCTTAACAAGTATATGTGTGATCAGATTGTTCGAAATGTATTGCGCAAATATATAACATAATTCTGATAAACTACGTCTTCTCATTGCATTATCGAAATTAATCAAAGGGACTAATTGTTTTAAATTACTAAATAATCGTTATTGTTATTATTGGAATACTAATAAAGATATTTCACTGACATGGAAAAATTAACTTTCTAAATCTTTCATTCTCTACAACTGTTGGCTGCAATATCATATACTAATTACACGTAATGCTATACGGTATCTAAAGTTGATTACAACTGTTGGCATTTTTATATAATGACGTTGGTGAGAATACAAGATGATGAGATCAATAGCACAGATTTATCCTTATAAATACATAGGGGAGTGGTATAGTTGTTAACTTTCGTTTCGTTGAAAAAAAAAGTCTTCTACCACTGACAAAATGCAGGTTTATTTACTCAGCCTTGGGTTACTGTCACGCTATACATAGTCGCCTAAACCGAAATTAGTTGAGGGTATGGGTCAAGTCTGTGGACTACTGGTTGGTTGCATAAGCAAAAAACAATAATTAACAATTGTTAGGATTTTGTTATACTTATCTACCTATTTCATAATAGATTGATCTTATTCATTTTAATAACTTGTTTTATCTTTTATTTTGTCATATTATTTCATATTTGCAGTTATTGTAAATAAAAGACTACATAAAATAGGCCAATAGAGATTATTATGTTTATCATATCTAACTACCACTAACTCACTGTACTTTTATTTATAAAAATTATTTGATAATCATCAATGTTATTATTTTATATGCAGTCAATCATAATTAAAGGTGCCAAAAAGAAAACCATTTTTCTGAACATCATGAAAACAAATAGAGAGCACAAAAAAGACGATTACAAAATTTTAAATTAAATAATTCCAGTTGAGAAAAGTTCAGTTTTATAAAGACTTTTATTTTGTAAGCAAAATTCTGATCCTGTAGATTTGTATTACATATCAAAACTTTATTATAGAAATGGTTGCTGCTATATAAAAATCATTTACGAACATCTATCTTAGTTCACTTTTGTATTTTTATTTATTTATTTATTTTAACACAGATATTGGTACAAGGAGGCACCAAATACATATGCGCCACACAAATCTCGATATGTGTGAGGGCTGTGATACTGACCGGGTGCCCAAACCGAAGCACGTGGTTTTCTTAGGAGGCCACTCCCGAGCCTTCGACCTGAATGTTTGATCCACAAGGCAGTGGAGCAACGTAAGGAGATGCAGTCCCATGGAAGCCGATGCCCGGCAGTTGGTTCATACGCCATTTGTTCCCGCAGGATATTGGAGCCTATGTGCACCATTGGTTTGGAATCCGGTTAAAGCGCCGGAAATTCGCTTTTTGTCCTCTCATTTTCGTAAACAACACCCCCGCCACGAGAAGGCAGTGAGTAGGACTTCCCTGGCAGAGGCTATATACGCGTGGCCATGTGAGGGCAATTCGAGAGGGAGAGCGTACTCTCCCCTTTCTCGGCCATACCAGGGCATTTGAGGGATGTTTAAAATTTCCAATTAATTTTTAGGACTGCGACCAATCAGTCTCTTACTGGCATACGTGCACCCTGTGCGGAATATTGTCTTAAGTCACAAGCATTATAAGCAAAGATGGATAGTGGCTGGCAGTGGAATCCAGGACGCACGTTTCGTCTTTTTTCGGGACTCTTCATCGTAGAGTTGATGTTCACTCTGGGACACGAACCCAGTACCGATTGTGTTATCCACTAAACTTTCTTAGAAATAGGAATTATATTTGAAAAATTCTCAGTTATAATTAGGATAAAAAATAAATTCCATTTTGCATTTCACAATTTGGTATGAGTTATAGACATTAATAGTGAAAATTATCATATGGTTCATAAAATAATTTTATGTACTAAACAATTATTCAATTATGTTAAGATATGGAATATTGTAAATTTTTAAAGCGTAAATTATAAGCTATTTGATATAAAATATGTTCAAATTGTAATGAATGAAAAAAAGTATGTATGTGTATGCAAATCTTATTTATAAACTATTGAACATAGAAATGAATCTAGGCTATGAGGGTTAGAAAAAAATAAATTTTAGTAATAGACATAAATTGAGCATTTTATAGGGTGTATGGATTGAGAATAAGTAACTAGACAATATTATGTTTTTTAAAGAACAAAGAGTATTAGGCTATATAGTAATTATGGTGTTACAGTGGACACGATCTTAATTTGTTTTGTTAATCATCTGTAATATTTAAAATTAAACCACGTGAAATTTGACATTTTCAGTTTATGATTGTATAGCCTTACGAAGAAGTTATTGAAAACGATCGCTTGGTCAAATACTCGTTGTTTTTGTATCGTCTGTACGTGTGTTTATGCTGTTATGTTAAACACGCCGGTTGTCAAGAGGATATCCGACACGCAATATTTTACATCGTAGATACAACTCTATTGTATCTCCTTTGTTAATTTCACTAATTAAGAATTAAATCTTGTTCGCACAGAAATGTGCTCTTATATTATTCTTATTAAAGATCCTACACATTTCTTTCAAAGTTCTTTTGTGTTACGAGATGATTACCGATACTAGTACATAGTTTCATATTTGAATATAAAAACCAATGGGAATCAAATAATAGGAGACAAACTAACACAATAATCATAAGATAGAATGCAAGAAGAAGAATGGGCTGTTCAGTCGATTGTCAGGACAGATTACATAAGAAATATATTTAGTGCTACTGCTGCAGTTACTGTAATATACACAATGAAATTGTGATATTTTCCCCAAGAAACACTGAAAATATTCAATACAGGGTAAATATTTTGGAAGTGATGTATTCCTTGAGCTGGATGGTGGTGAAGCTTTCATTAATTTCTCCAAATCATCAGTATGAACTTTAAAAACATATGAGCTACTAAAACGTCTTCACAGTTGACTAACAGCTTGTTCTGTTGACTAGGAATATGATTAGCTGTGGTCGGCTATGAATAGACGTTATTTGTATGTATATCTTGTTTGCCTTTACTTCGAACTTGATCGCTGACATTAAAACTGTTTATGATTTTTCTTACTGACTGATATACTTGAGATTATTGGCTGGAAACGTCGCGTGACAGCCCAGAATCAGTTGTAATGGTGCGAGTCTATCTATTCTATATTTTACTTAACATTTCGAGTCTTTTTATTACTTTATACATAACTTCCCATTTTGTCTTTCTGAACCATATTTTTAATTGTCAATACTACTACTACTACATTATTTCGATTTATTTACGATTCATCTTGCTGATGTGGTATGGCAGTTTGAGCTAACACATGCTTATGCCTTGATCTATGTTGATCATGACTAACTGACATCAACTTTCACGATTGAAGTTAGGGGACCATAAAATTTATCGTCGAATCCTTAATTAGTACATGCCACCAAGTCGATATATATGTAGCATTCAAAATTACAAATTGGATTTCATCCACTTATATTTTGTCACCTTTATTCTTTTATAGTCAGTCCTGATAATCAACCGATTTAGTATTTTTCTTTTCAACTGAATCTCGCTTTATTATTATTATTATTTTCATTACATTTTAGTCGGTGTTTATTTTTTTTAATAATGAAAATATGAATTTCGCTTCCAGTGAGACAGCTAAAGAGTCGATCACTACTACAACAGGAATATAACCTTAAAGTTAATGGAGTAACTAACCAGAGTAAAATATTAGATTTATGCACCACTTCATGTTTAGATTACTTTAAATAATGAATTTAACTTTGCTGTATAATCTATCCAATTATTAAAAAACCACAACTGAGATCCTATTATGAATTAATTTGCAGACAGTCAGTACACTACTGATAATTTGTTGCTATATGAGCGTAAACCTGGATTCTACATCAAATATTGAACATAGTAAAAAGAGCGTTTTTTCGGTCATTAGCTTAGGTGGTCGGCATTATAAAAACTAACAGTGAATCCCAATCAAGTGTGAAGCAATCTTTTAGTTATAACTTTTACATTCTAAAAAAGAACTACCGGAAATGGACATTTTCGTATAAAGTCTGCGTGTGATTCGTTTCTCTATTTTCTTTTTATGTGATAAGAATTTTATACTGCTTGTGCTTTTTGATCACTACTAGACAAAAACTATGAAAAGAAAACAACAAAATGTAAATTTTTATATAAAAAAGATCCGTACCATGCCACAAACAGTTATTATTTTCAACTTTATTTTTCATTTACACAAAATGATGGCAAGAAAAGTGACTTTTTCGCTTTTGAAAAAAACAATGAAAGGTTCATCTTCCATATGGGTACATTGTCGTATATAATTTTTGGATTGATCTATACACTAATTACCAAATATCGTTTAAGACATTCACAACGGAAACATACATATAGAATTTTTTTATTGTATCTCTAAATGGGAAATATTACTTTAGTACTGATTTATGTAAACTGAACTAATGATAAGGAGTGAAGAAGTCGAGAGTGTCAACCACTTAACTTATCTTGGAAGTTTCATCAAACCCAAGTTAGTTGGTGTCTGATGAAGTCTCGCGACACATTTAGAAAGGTCGGTTGACTATGTCAATTATGGCATAAGCGAGATGTTCACCTGCAAATTATAAAGGACGAGTATATCGTGGAGAGATTTGCTTTGTTTAACTTTATGCCTATGAGACGTGACCTATAAAAATAGAGGATATTCGTAAGTTACCAGTATTTGTCGCAGATACATTTGAGGCATTCCTGGCGTATATTGGAGTTATAAAGTAAGGTACTAGACACAGGGTATTGGGTAAAGATCCCAAGTTCATTCATAAGGTAGTGAATATTTATCGACTGAGATGGTCAGGACATGTTTTATGTAAGCCTAATCACAGACTACTGCGATAACGGTTAATTTAACGGTAGGTTGGAAGAGTGGCCAAACTAAGACACGATATCAATTAACGAAGACATCGGTTGTTGGACTATCCGGTTGGAATCTGTTTAATGATAGTAACTACTTTTGAGGGATGGCTTAAAATCGCCCGCAATGAAGCGAATGCAATCACATTGTCATTCTGTAGATTGAAGGTTCCTAAGCCACTTTATAAATTTGTTTCCCATTTCATGAAGTCATAATTTTTCTCGAATAGTTCTTTCGATGCCTAATCTTTTCTATTACCACTAATACTGTTACTACCTCAATTACTCTGGGATTTGCCCAACTATTTCATCTTATCGTGTTAATGGGGTGTGGCAACGTAAACTGACATGGATATGTGCCCGATTTTAAGCGATGTATGTATGAGTGACTGTCATTACAGTAAGATGGTTATCACTGACTGCATCGGATTAAGGTTATGCAGTATCATCAATAGAATGAAGTAGAAAAGCATGAACTACTACTGGATTCCAACACATCATTTTTGAAAGAAGTTATTATGCTCACTATGAAATCTAATGTAGGACATTTGGATTGTACAATGTTAAGGTTGCATGAATATGAATAACAACAGTTGCCTAGCTACTTATGTCTACTTAGTTTTAAGTGATTCTCTACCTGTAATATGAGTTTTATTGATCTTAAAACTATACAAATTACCACAATATCCATATAAATAACTGTTATTACAATTAACAATTTTTGATTATGAAAGGATACAACCACCGTGTCAATTATCCTACCGTTTATTTACAGATTGAAATGATACACATGAATTAACTGCTAATATAAAGACGATTTTACAATTCATAAAAGTAATCATTTATCCAATAACTACTGATGTATAAATGCATGTCAATAAACTGAAAAAAATTATATATAGTCAATCAATCTTTCTATTTAAAAGAAATATTAACATGGACTACTACTGATTTCGAATGAATAAGATTATTATAGTCGATTGTTAGTGTATTTTACACTTGTGAAAATAGACACTTTTATTCGAATAAAAATGATCATATTTTCACAAACAGATACTATGTATCAACTTGTCATATAACCTATTTTGGCGAAAACAGACTTAATCAGCAGAGATAGACAGTGGCTCTTTGGGACTCGTCAACTGGATGTACCTGCATCTCAAAGTTGATGTTGGCTCTGGGACTCGAACCCAATACCGCTCGCTTCAAACACCATCGAGTTATCTACTTAGATACAGAGTCCTGATAGACACAAGCAAGTGGCCACTCCGAGATGCAGGTACATCCAGCCGACGAGTTCCAAATAAGACGAAACGCGCGTCCTCGATTCCACTACCAGCCACTATCCATCTTTGCTTATAATGCTTGTGACTTAAGACAATATTGAGGCATTCCACACAGGGTGCACATATGGCAATAAGAGACTGGTCGACTGCAATCTTAAATATTAATGGTTAGATTCAAGTAAGCAATACTAAGGGAATGAAAACAGACTTAGCTAGAAATTTAATAATTTTACTAGTTAACTAGAAAGAAAACATGACAACTAAATATTGGTGTTCCAGTGTTTTCACAGTAAAAGCAAAACTTATCGTTATGCCAACTATAAAAAAAGTAGTTATTATTATTTTATCAATCGATTACTTAAATATCAACAACACAATGAAAAATGTGTGTTCTGGCATAGAAATGATATTAATTTGATTATATTCACATTAAATTAAAACAACCCAGGGTAGATAACTTTAGTATGAAAAAAAATAAGAAAAGCAAATCGAATAAAGTTAAGGAAAATCAGTCATATGAATGTAAGCTGTACTTGGAATGCAGTTTGGCAATAAAAAAAACTTAGTATACAAGGCACAAATATAAACTCTTTACTATTGATGTGAGTGGAATACTTTCACTTCTCTGTTAAATGAGATCATGCGTAGTGAAAAAAATGGGGTTCAAGAGTTTAAAATAGACAACTTGTTAATATAGTTTCAAAATAAAAAACAAATCTGTATTAATTAAACTGAAACACACGATAGAAAAACATAAGTATGATGAATGTAAAAATTAGTGAGGTAGAACTACTAAAAATATTTCGTTTGTCCTACAGTAATACAACAATATAGCATTGCAAACGCATTTACAATAATTATCATAGATAATAATTACTTTGAAAAAGATATTGTGAATTGCACTGTGACTTATCGATAATTCAATAATGCTGAAATAAGCTACGTCTTGTATCCTAGAATGCGAAGAATAACAACTAACTAATTGTAGATCGCACAGAATCATAAATTGGACTGATTAACAGAAGGTTTTGAATACAGGTTCGACAATAATCAACGAAGAGTAATATTTAGCCTTAAAAAACTCATGATTCATCTCATATGTAATCATTTGGAGTCATTATTTAAGTACTTTTGGTCCTTGATCAATTTCTGATAGGTAATTAACATGGAGCTAATCAGATTCTACCTAGTAATCGGGTTAGCATGATGGTCAAAAATTATATGGACTGGGATCATATAGTTAACATATAACACAGGATGACTTTACAAAACCAAGGATGTTGTGGATCTTATTAACATGTTTTTGAAAATTACGTTAATTGTATAATGTTATGATTAAACTGCTTTTTTCTAGCACACTTATGCAACACTAGGTCAATCGGAAACAAGTTATAGTTGGGGTGGGGTAAGACAGTTCTCACTATTATTTTACATAAAAAGTAAGCAAACTACTTGAAAACTAACCTTTTCTGAATAGACCGGATTGCCAGTTAGCTCAGAAAGATATTTAAATTCCATATGTAATGTACCAAACTCTGATAGAATTGAACATTGACCATTTGCCCAGACAAAATTCCGCTTATCTCCCCTAAAGTAATTCATAACAAAAGAATATTCATAAGATCATATTAGATAGAAAATTTTTCTTAATAGTTTAAGGAATGATGTATTTAGCAAAATAATTATTCTTTCCACTTTTGCAGAGTTAGTTTTATTTAAATAGCTCTACACAGAAGTATGGAGAGCAGGGGACCACCAATATATGTGGTATTTCCGAGACTTTATTTTTTTATTTGAACACAAATATTGGTACATGGGGGCACCAAATATATATGCACCACACAAATTTCATTCACTGTGTGTGATGATGATGATTTGAAACATCTATAATCGAATCAACATATGATAAACATTTTAATCAATAGTCTGATAAGATCTTTCGAATAATTTTCAAAGGAATAAACAAGATGAGAGTTATTTAGATTACTTTTTACGTTAAACGTGTGTTTAGTGTATGAAACATACAGTCCTTTGAATACAGCAAGATTTGTGGGCACTAAACGAAACGGATGAGTTTTGTGGAAATAGTGTTAACCGTTGATTCAGTTAACTACAAGTAAATTCGGATTGATATATTGTCCAAAGATATCAACAAATATGTAGGCCTAGTAACTTTAGTCAAACCAACGATGTAAATGACTAAAGAATAAAACGAATTGATAGGAATTTCAAACTGATTACAGAAACATGAGTACTGACTGGCTGATTCGGTCCGCATAATATGAGTAACGCTTATCGAGTACGTTTGAACTAAGTAAATGAATTACAATCTGAAAAATTATTTTAAAAAGTACTCAGCTTTTAGCAACATGCTTCATATAACTGTCGACCTCCTGAAATTAAACTAAGTAAAACAGGTTTCGAACCCGTCATTCAGCCGTCGAAACATGAATGTTTTGACTACTTAGCCAATACGTTACTTAGTGCTTAAAAATATTCAACAATAGCAGGTACTTAGAGTATTATCATTCAATCTCAAACACAATTTCACAGGACAAAAATGTGCAGCGATTTAAATAAAAATGTTTACTAATTACGATGAGATTTATAAACTCCATTAACTGAATATTTAAGATATCCAGAAACTTAATTACTAACTATACACACTATATTTGTCATTATGACAAAACAAACTTTCATTCAAAGTCTGGAGAATGGTAATTTATATAAATATCTTTTTAAATAAACATTAACAAAAAATAGCATGAATTGGTTCATTCTGCAGGTGATAATGAACACATGGAATTATCTGATAACAGTAAAACAACACAAGAAAGAAAATAAGTACAACTAATAGAGTAGATAGGACTGACCACCAGGTAAAAGCAAACTAATGTGTTTATTCATATACGCACACACAGACCCAATGGAAGAGCACATTCATATTCCCATAGAAAATGAGGTCAACTACATGTAACTAATTATGATTATCCTTTAATACAGTATACACTCATATAACATTTTAATTACTAAAATTCGTTAAAAATATTACTGAAGAATATACTTAAATAAATAAGCAAATATAAATATATGTATCTTAACAAAGAATGCAAAGATAAGAGGTTTAAAGCGTAGATTTGTATTTGTACAAATGTAGATAAACAGACATAAAAACTTATGCAAAATAACATTGATCTAAAATACGTACATGGACTAGATTTGAGAAAAAATATACACCATGATCGATATTACAGAAAAACAAACAGTATATTTTTACGGTTAGTTAATTAAACCTAGTGTGTATTATTACTAAAATTAAGAATACAACTCTGCTAATGTGTTAAATGTGAAACTTTTGTGTTTGTCTAAAAAAAATGTAACAATCGGGCATTTACGTAAAGCTGTAATTTGTAACTCAATTGTTTAGCAGTATATTGAGTATTACAAAACTGTTACCTGCTACAAATGATGACGTGGAGATATTTAGCTCAGGAGGATGATTTAGGTAGAGTTTTGTTCTTTGAACTGGACGGCTTGTTTGTAGCGCTTTTATTGTTCTTCTGAACAACGTCATCAGAGCAAACTTCAGGTAGAAGCTGCACGACCAAACTATGCAGCTCAGAGAACGAAATTCCACTTATATGATGATGTATTTTAAGAGTAACAATAACTTATACAGAATGGTTAGCTTGGGTTAGAGGAGAAATAAATTTTATTCACACTACTGACACATAATACGACAACCATGAGCAATTTGAACTAAACCACCGAATAATATGTATCAAATTCAGTAAAGTTAAATGTAGGAGCTCGATTGAAAAATCTCCAGATGTGTATAATTACAATGTCTTAAGGAAAGTACAACTGCAATAAAATATCATAAAACTAATTTTAAAAGATGAACTGGATTAAATGAATTGAAAAGGAAAAGTAAACAGGTGTGTCTACAAACTCAACTATAAGGTCGTAAAAATTGAATCACTCATCAGCATATTTCAAGCAAAGCATACAACATAACAAAGAGTCAAATGTTAAAACGATGAAGGCACGCACACATTATCATTTTAATCACCATGTTTACCACTAATAAACAATATTTTCAGTTGGTATAAATAGAAAGAAAAATAAAAACAAATTGTCATTTACGTTTTCAAATTGATTAAACTCATTGGAATTCCACTAGGTGTATCAAATGCAGGTAATAAACGTTGAGCAAGTTCAACCGCTTTAGTCAGTAAGATCTGAAGTAAAAAGAAACAAAACCAAACAACAATGAAGATAGGCCATAAATATAAAGAAAAAAACAAAGAACACTTATTATGAATTAAAATGAAAAATTAATTTCTATAAAACAATAATTAATTGTTGTTTACAGAAAGACTGTTTTTACAGAGAATTATTTCAGGCTCTAAAGGTACATTTTACCTTCATAGAATTCATTAAACTTGAAAATTAAAATAACCAAGTGGAATACGAGATAAATGCTACCGATGACAATTAATGATGGACATGTGAGATTGTCAAATGACTTAAGTTAAGAATTTAAACCACCTGTTTCCGATTCAATGATCTGTAGGTGAAGTGACCGCTGTGAGACCTGGAGGCCTTCGTTCAAGGCTTCAAAGCTACTAGAATGAGATACTTATTCTTCCTAATTTTCAATGTTTGTCTTAATGAAATTAATATGTAGTGTAAAACTACAAAATAATCGGTGTTCGAAACGACTAGACTATTGAGTTGTAAAAGTTGCTGTGATGAACTCGAAGATTTATGAAAAATATTATACACAACGCAGTAGCCTAGTTAAAATTCAGCTGAGGTAATTAAAGTATAATTCCGCCTGGAGTCCCTCCGAGCGCTACTGCCGGTCCCAAGCCCGGATAAAGGAGGAGGGTTGGGCATGGGGTTAGCGTCCCCATCCCGTAGAAAACTAACTCGCTAAAAAAACGCTAACCAGAAAAAATTATTCAAACCTTTTAAACTCTGCCCTGGGAGTCAGAAGGTCTTCATTTAGAAGAATTATGACGCCTCATGATGAAAGCCGAATTCCTTCGGAAGTTACGAGGCCGATGCCCCTTCTGACAACCAGAGCGACCATTTATTTAGGTACATGGAATGTTCGTACAATGTGGGACACCGGAGAGCCTTCCAAATTGCTGCAGAAATGAGAAGATACAACCTAGAGGTACTTGGGATCAGTGAAACACATTGGACACAAGTTGGACAACAACGACTAACTACAGGAGAGCTCCTGTTATACTCCGGCCATGAAGAAGAAAATGCACCACATACACAAGGAGTTGCATTGATGCTGTCCAAACAAGCGCAAAATGCACTTATAGGATGGGAATCTCATGGACCAAGGATCATCAAAGCCTCGTTCAAAACAAAGAAAGAGGGCATTTCAATGAACATCATCCAATGCTATGCGCCTACCAACGACTACAATGAAGACGCTAAAGATCAATTCTACAATAGGCTGCAGTCAATCGTCGAGAAGTGCCCAACAAAGGACCTGACCATTCTGATGGGAGATTTCAACGCCAAGGTTGGAACGGACAACACTGGATATGAAGACATCATGGGACGACACGGACTGGGAGAAAGGAACGAAAATGGTGAGAGATTTGCAAATCTATGTGCCTTCAATAAGCTGGTCATAGGCGGCACCATATTCCCACATAAACGCATACACAAAACCACATGGACTTCACCGGATCACTCTACACAAAACCAAATCGACCATATTTGCATCAACAAAACGTTCAGGAGGACTATAGAGGACGTGAGAACCAAGAGAGGAGCTGATATAGCATCAGATCATCACTTGCTGGTCGCCAAGATGAAATTGAAACTCAAGAAGCACTGGACAACGGGGCGGACAATATCACAAAAGTTCAATACGGCCTTTCTCAGGATACTAACAAACTCAACAAATTCAAGATAGTCCTCAGCAACAAGTTCCAGGCCTTTCATGATCTACTCAATGGAGAAGGAACTACTGTGGAGAGCAACTGGAAGGGGATCAAAGAGGCAATCACTTCAACATGTCATGAGGTCCTGGGTCACAAGAAGCACCATCACAAGGAATGGATCACTGTTGATACACTGGATAAGATTCAAGAAAGAAGGAACAAGAAGGCAGCAATCAATACCAGCCGAACAAGAGCAGAAAAAGCCAAGGCACAAGCTGAATACACAGAAGTAAACAAACAAGTGAAGAGGAGCATCAGAACCGACAAACGTAAATATGTGGAAGATTTAGCAACGACGGCGGAAAAGGCTGCAAGAGAAGGAAACATGAGACAACTGTATGACACGACAAAGAAACTCTCTGGAAATCGCCGCAAACCAGAACGACCAGTGAAAAGCAAGGAAGGCAGGTAATCACCAACATTGAAGAGCAACAAAACAGGTGGGTAGAACACTTCAAAGAACTCTTGAATCGACCAGCTCCACTGAACCCACCCAACATCGAAGCAGCACCCACGGACCTCCCAATCAATGTTGGCCCACCAACAATTGAAGAAATCAGCATGGCCATCAGACAAATCAAGAGTGGCAAAGCAGCAGGACCGGACAACATCCAGCAGAGGCACTAAAAGCAGACGTAGCGGCAACTGCAAGGATACTCCACATTCTCTTCAATAAGATTTGGGATGAGGAACAAGTACCAAAAGACTGGAAAGAAGGACTTCTGATCAAAATACCGAAGAAAGGCGATCTCAGCAACTGTGATAACTACAGGGGCATCACTCTTCTCTCAATACCGGGAAAAGTCTTCAACAGGGTATTGTTAAACAGGATGAAGGACTGCGTAGACGCCCAACTTCGTGACCAACAGGCAGGATTCCGTAAGGATAGATCGTGTACAGACCAAATCGCAACTCTACGGATCATTGTGGAACAATCAATTGAATGGAATTCATCACTCTACATCAACTTCATTGACTACGAAAAGGCATTTGATAGCGTGGACAGAACAACACTATGGAAACTTCTTCGACACTACGGCGTGCCTCAGAAGATAGTCAATATCATACAGAACTCATATGATGGATTACACTGCAAAATTGTGCATGGAGGACAGTTGACAAAGTCGTTCGAAGTGAAGACCGGTGTTAGGCAAGGTTGCTTACTCTCACCCTTTCTCTTTCTCCTGGTGATCGACTGGATCATGAAGACGTCAACGTCTGAAGGGAAGGCGGGATACAATGGACATCTAAGATGCAGTTGGACGATCTGGCCCTTCTATCCCAAACGCAACAACAGATGCAGGAGAAGACGAACAGTGTGGCAGCAGCCTCAGCAGCAGTAGGTCTCAATATACACAAAGGGAAAAGCAGGATTCTCCGATACAACACAGAATGCACCAATCCAATCACAATTGACGGAGAAGATTTGGAAGATGTAAAAACCTTTACATATTTGGGCAGCATCATTGATGAACAGGGTGGATCTGATGCAGATGTGAAGGCGCGGATCGGCAAAGCAAGAGCAGCATATTTACAACTGAGGAACATCTGGAACTCAAAGCAACTGTCAACCAACACCAAGGTCAGGATTTTCAATACAAATGTCAAGACAGTTCTACTGTATGGGGCAGAAACCTGGAGAACTACGAAAGCCATCATCCAGAAAATACAGGTGTTTATTAACAGTTGTCTACGCAAAATACTTCAGATCCATTGGCCGGACACTATTAGCAACAACGTACTGTGGGAGAGAACAAACCAGATCCCAGCGGAGGAAGAAATCAGGAAGAAGCGCTGGAAGTGGATAGGACACACATTGAGGAAAGCACCCAACTGCGTCACAAGACAAGCCCTCACATGGAATCCTCAAGGCCAAAGAACACATTACGCTGGGAAATGGAGACGAACATGAGAAAAATGAACAAGAATTGGATTGAACTAGAAAAGAAGGCCCAGGACAGAGTGGGTTGGAGAATGCTGGTCAGCGGCCTATGCTTTATTGGGAGTAACAGGCGTAAGTAATTAATTAAAGTATAATAGTATGTTTAGAAAGATGAGTGATCAATGAATTATTTTTGTCATTAAGTTTATTATCGGTAGCAATGGAAGATTACCGAATGGAACACATTCGAGTTAACAAAATATCTTGTTTACTTTTGAATAACATTATTTATCAAACATAAGTTTTCATAATGAAATAGCACAGTATTTTGTCTAAGCATTTGAAATTTATTTAGACTAAATGCGACTGTAGTTTCGGAGACAAAAGTAATGGTGTAAATATTAATATTTAATGTATGCGCCTTTGAACTGAAGTTGTCGAGTTTGATATAAACAAAGTAGGACAAAATGTATTGAAGAACTGCTCATATATTAATATGCTGGGAAATAGTACTGCAGTGAAGTGAACATCTATGTTGCAGATATGTGTATATTAAATTTTAGCGGTTTTCATCGTACTAGGAAAATACTGAACAGCTGTAATAGCCACACAAAAACATTTGTACTAAAATCAAGGGTTATAAACAACCAGTTACTATTTCCTTAGTAAAAATTGTATTCACATAGCGATGAACAATAATGTGTGGAATACATTTTGAAGTTGACTATCAAGTGATAAAGTCAATTCTCCGTAATACAATTCAACCAAGTGCTGACCATGAATAGTATTAATAAGAAATGAATTCCCTATTCTAAAAAACGTTTCCTATTACAAGCTAATAACAGACTAATAAAGATAATTTGCTATAAAGAAAATGAGATCAAAACAGAACGAATAAACAACGTGTATCACAGTAATAACATGCTTATTAAGATAGACATGCACAAACAAATAAATAATCGATCAACCACAATAATATTTATGATTAAAAGGTAAAAAACAAACAAACAAAATGAATAGCATTTCGAGATAATAAATTTAGAACGGCAAAATGAATTATTTAGTTAAGAATTGCTATATGGTCAGTTGTGATAGTAGGGAGAGGATTTCATTCTACAATCTGAATGATCGGTTATAAACTAATCAAAATCCAGTGAAACGATTGGTTTAGATTTAGTCAAATTATTTATTTTATGCAAATCATACTACTTGTTTATATAAAAACAAAAACATAGGATATGCTCAGATTGTTTAATTTATTATGCTACTGAGAATAAAGAGTAAGAAGGGTAACAGTGCATATATTTTTCATTTCAAAAGTTTAGTTTGAATCACAGAAGACATATCGACAAATGAGGGGGATAAGATGATAGATATATTAGTATCATTGGGAGTTCATAGTATATTTAGTCCACTGTGTTAAAAGCGGAAACATAATTTGTGTTAAGCATGAAAATCCTAGAAGGTCTAATGTTTGGTGGATCACTTTTGTAAAGTACAATAAACAGCAATGGTAAATGAAAGGCATTTTGATGAACGAAATACATATGTTCTTCGTATTGACGGTTTCATACCTTTATTTAGAGCGAAGAGTACTTTGTTTGTGAATACAAGTCCAGTCCTTTTTAGCCTTAGTTATAGAGTGGAAAGTACTATTTTATAAAAGAGGAAACAATTAGTTTGGGTTTAGTTTTGTTATTCTTTAGTCGATAAAATTTTATGAATTACTTAGTGTATGTTATGACAACATTCTATCATGAAAACAAATATCACTAATTTTTTCCAAGATGAATTAATAATGATTATTTATGACAATTTTGTCTAGAATAATCTTGGCCAGTTATAATACATAGGTAGAAAATTTTTTTCACATATTATTCTAAAAAACTTTGAATTTTGCATCAGAGAAAAAACAACACTTGGACAAAAAGACAAATATGAAACAAAACATAGTTTTATGAAAGTATGTTGACAGAGAGAGAAGGTAGCTCACAATAGCATCACCTAAAATTAATGAAGATAACTTTTCTAAGGAATGACAAGAATGTACAGGTAATGTTATGATGACCGATATAAAGAAGTGTAGTGTTTAACATTTAGAAGACTATGAATGACAATATCTCGTTTTGTTTTGATAACATTTTAAACTACTGATTTGACTTAATTCCAATTACAACCAGTAGATATTATCAACGAAAAGTAGTTAGAACACAGAAGGCTGAATGATTTTGAGAAGCAGTTGCGTACAATGAGTGATTTATTATGTAAACCAATATAATATGACTTGAAAGTGGATAGTAATCACTTTTGAAAAATAACGTGTACAAATATGAATCCATTTACAACTCTACGTATTAGATAAATAAATTATACGTACTTTGGTATTCATGATAATTACTAAATGAAAATCATGTGTATGAGAAACACTCGACTGGAAAGACACAATAGATGTATATGGTTGTGTATAAGACATAAGATTTTCTAACTTATTCAATTAAACTAAAGGGTCAAGCACGTCATAATAATTATTGTTATGAATTAAGGTAGTTTTTGTAAGGAGTACAATATGAAAGTAACTGATATGATGGTGAACCGGGGATTACTGGAAACTTAATATTATCAGTATAAAAAATTAGAAAGCATTAGTTAATAGTTTTTATGTTTTACTATCGAACAGTACAAAATATGTAAAAAGTTCACTTGATGAATTTACAAATATACACTTTATTAATTAAATGTATTAACTAGTATATATATATATATATATATATATATATATTCCTTCAGTGCAATTATTAATTAATTGAAATCAACTCATTTCTTCATTTACATTTGACTTAGGATATCCCTACTTCCTTTAATGCACTTGTAAACAAATAAATCTGCAAAAAAGTGCAAAACGATAAAACAACAAGAGCGAGTAACGTGCGCTAAATAATCAGTAAAAGCATGAAATTGGAAGAGTAGGAAATAAATAATTTTTAATTGGTATACAAAATTTGCGATTGTTTTCCATCAACACTTGATACTCATTTTTAGATAATAATCATTGTGTACCAGTGTGGGGTAAAAAGAAACTCCAGCGAGTTTATGATACAGTGTAACTATTATCCAATGTTATTATTAGTAAATAACTCCCACAGAAAGCAATCATAACATGACTACATAGACGACAGCGTCGTAGTAGAATGTTGATAAATCTATCTTGAAGCTAATCCGTGCTGTGAAGATAAAATCGAAAAAACAAGACAATAGGCAGGAGGTATGCATATTTATAGAGAGAAGTTACAAATTATTTACATAGCACATATATATATAGCCTTCAATTGTTCATTCTCATCTTTCGTTGTGTCTTGTAATCTGAACTATCTTCTCGACTGGCCTCCAAGTTTTCTGCCAATGCTCTGCTTTCGATGCACCGAAACTGTTCACTCAGTCTGACAATTGTTGCGAAATCGATACCACGTTCCACTACACAGTAACTATTTTAATGAGACTTTATGGAGAGATGAGTTCGATTTGTAAATGGTGTTTCACAAAATTCATAAAACGTTTAGTAACAACTGGTGTGATTTGAGATCTAAAACGATGACTATCCAATGCTGCTGGTGACAACTGTTTCACTCCCGACATGACTGCACTCTATAAGCTCTAATATTTCAGGATTTAGTAGGAGGATTGAAGGTTCTGGGTTCGGTCACCTAGTCGGGTCGTGTGTGTACCCAACTAAGGAGTTCCGGACTGGGATGAAACAACTCTTCAGTGCTTGATAATTTTTAATGGTACTCTATATGAGATCAGTCTGCAAGGAAATCTACATACAAACCAAATCAACCACCATAAAAACTCCTACGAACAAAAAATGTAACTATTTCACGAGATAGTAATAATGATAATGAGATTATTTTTATACCGGACATCAATCAATGTGGAAAATAACTTTTATATTTAAAATAAACCTACAGGTTTTCTACTGAACGTGTAAGCAGACAGCAGGCCACCAATATACCTAATATTGAATTCAAACACGGACACCTGAGTGTTCTGTGAAGAAAAAGTTCAAAGTACAAAGAATGAATTAAGTATTTAAAATCTCAAATATTATATAAAGTAATAAATTTGTTGACAGTTAAATTACAACAACTTTTTCTCACATAAGATGAAATGGTGCGATGATGCAGTTTAATTTTAAAGTATAAACATAATTTTAATTTACTACACAATCTTAATGATGAGTAAAAAAGTCCACGTATACAAATGATTTTTCTCCATATCTACCCAAATATAATGCGGCGAAACGAGGCAGACTGGTGACAATGCACTAGTTAAAATATCTGTTATAAGTAGATGTCTGGATGCTGAATAGCTTGAGTCGAAAAGTTCATCTATTAGTTGAAGCATAGATATTGTGAGCATACTGATCGATGTCTGAATGAGCTGTATAATTGGTGATATAATTTCCGTAAAAACTAGATACTTATAACACATAGAAAAAAAACTGAACAAAACACACCAAATAAAATGTTATGACTGATGTGACTGCAGGTCTTGATAAGCAGCGTTTATTGATCGATTCGGTGAGAGTGACACGGAAAACACGTAAGGGACGACCTAGTGCCCTGATTGGCCCTGCCCCGCTGTCTATCCTAGCCCAGTTGAGTGGAGAACAAAAGTCACAGCCTCGGAGATATGAATCATTATATTTCAAACATACTTTGTTTATATATCAATCAAGCATACCACATCGTACCATAAAAATAGTAAACAACATTTACGCAATATGTAACGAATGAATTAAATAATAGCCAATAGGGAATGTACATTTAAAGTCCAAGGACACCACTGGACTTAACATGATAATTATTGGTCTATTCTTCCGCATCCACAACATAAAATATTTATCAGAAAGATATAAAAACAATGAGCAAATAATTAGCTATTTTTCACAGGAAATGATAATAGTAAAGAGCTACTAAGCAGGATTATTACTAACTGACTACGTTGTCTAAACATTAAGTCACTACGGTACCAACTACAACTAGATCCCTAATAAGTTACTGATCAATCGGTGGTTTTAACATTTTCGGGGGAGATATCTTGAAACTATGCAATTCTTCGACAGTTTATCAAAAAAATCGAAACGAATTGCTAAGCAGCAGAATCTAACATTCACAAACACAGTTGGACGTCTTTATAATATCTTAAGTGAGGTTACAACAGTCGACATTTCCACATAGTTAACATTATATTACAACAATCAAGTATGCATTATCATTCACCTTAATCCATTGAATTAACTTCCTTGCTGAATTTATTTATATAATTAAAATGAACAATTCTCTGATCACATGATTACTGTGATGGTTTTTTTAATAACCAGAGAAGACATATAACAATAACTTCTGTGAACAATTTAGGTTCTGGTCTTTAGTGTCTATCAGAGTTATAATTAGTTGTATACGCCATTGTAATATAAATTTTAAAGAAAAAACAAAAATTAAGCATTATTGTTATTACTAAGTAATAAATTGTACATTAATCGTTAGTTTTCACTATTATTATTATTATTATTATTATTATTATTATTATTATTATTATTATTATTATTATAAACTTACTAATGTTTGTATAAGAAAACCCAAAGTGTGAACATACTACAGTTCATGTGATAGAAATACATAAGTGTATCTATCACTACTAGTAACAGTGTGTATGTACTGGACTAAATACAATATAAAATCTGTAAAGATAATTCAAATGAATTCACAGCATTCACCTATTTGCATAAAATAAGAGAAGTGAATAACTCTGTTTGTTTGTTCTTCAAACTGGTCATCACATAAAATTGTGAAAATTGTTTTTGTTGATAATAGTCATTTCACTGTATTCGCTTTTTTAAATGTTTTTCTAGTTTATATCAGGTATATATAAATATATTTACTTATTACATCTACGTGCTTTCACAAATTATGAGTAACTGATAAAATCTAATCCAAAGAATAACACTTTATTACTGACGAATGAACGGGTTAGACTATTTGCAGGCAGATTATAATTGTTTATAAATTAGCGTTATGCAGCTACAATAAAACAAAAATTAGAATGACACTGTAAGTTGAACTTCAAACGGATGAATTTTACATAACTTATTGTGATAAATTCAATCGATTGGATCAAATAAACGAAAATAAAACAAGTCATAATGAAATGTGGTGTCTCTTCAGTAAAATGTGAACATTGATGATCCATAATCGAAAGGATGATTTGGTATCTTAGATGGTGAATGCTGAGTTCTAATGATAAAACTGACCACAACAAAACATTTAAGCTTATGAATTTCAAGCAGGAAGGGACATTTAACCAAAATTACTTCGATAAATCATAACAAAGGTTATTAAAATACATCTTGCATTATATAAATAAGTTTTATGGCTTTGATTAATTCCATTTCATTCATTACTTTTTATACTTAAAGCTAAGAAAGTTTCTATGCATTTCAAAAATGTATAAAAAATGACAGAATCAAAAATAAATACTTTGTTAAAATCCAGATTCATTTCTATCCATTCTACAGCTGTGTTGAATTCTTTGTTCAAATTCATTATGTACAAAGTATCCAAACTATCGACTAAGGAAGCCCCGAGTGGTTCATTTCCAAGTACAAGGGTAAGTGGCCAGTTTTTGAATACGGTTTCAATTCATTACTTCCCCATGCATAGGTAACATAACCATTCCAAGCAAACTTCATCATCTAAAGTTTATCAAAAAATACACAAACAAAATGGATTACAACTTGAAAATATACTCTATAATCCTCAATAATTTTAGAATCCAAACTTTAAAAGCATGATTACATAAACAAATACAGGGGGCTGAAGATGGGGCAATAACATTTGGAAAATTTCAATATTTATGCTAAGCTAATGATAAAAGCTGATATAAATTCAGAGACAAAACAGTAAGGCAGTAAATTTTGTAAAGATTGATCTATGACTCCCAAATGTACTATATACATTTTAATCAGATTGCAATTGTTTTGCAATTTTTCCTTAAAATAAACAGTAAAGTTGTGTAACACAGACATAACTGACTACTTGTGGACGTCTGAACGACTGTAGTTTCTTTTTAATTTACCTAGTAATTATACTTGGGTAACGCATTATAAGTACGCGTACTTTGCATAGCCTTACGAGAACAGATATTACATTCCATGCAGTTTAATTTCCGCACACGAATATGCTCGAATGAAATTATAAATGATAGTAGCTTGAGTTTAGCAACCGTAAAAAGTAAAGGACCGGGCAGTAAAGAATTATTCATAATTTTACCTCATATTAACAAATATCATAAAGCATTTTATGAGTAAAGATATACTTTATAAATATTTTCGAATACACACAAAGAACATAGGACAGAAGAGTTAGTAAGAACATTACAATAATGATTAATTTTGTTGGTGGATAGATAAATTGCAAGATTCCATTAAAATAATACGAACAATTAGTAAATATTGATCACGTCTACAATAGAAGTGTCGATACATGAGACATGATGTTAAAAGATGGAGTAATTTCTGCTTTTAGTTATTAGTCATTTATTAGTATTTGAAACGGAAAACTAATATAGATAACAATCACGCTTTAAACGGGCAAGTTCTGAAGCAACAAATTGAATTTAGAGGAGGAGAAACGCATCCCAAACATCCTTACACTGTTGCTCAGTGCTACCAAAAGACTGCATTTAATCAGCGTCTTCACCAAACACGACTATGTCACTAGTGTATTCTAAGTCGACAAGTGGACCTCCTGGAAGGGAATCAATTCCTGAAAATTCAATCGACGGGAACCTTATTTCAAGTAGTAGGTCTATGGTGAAATTGAACAGAAATGGAGATAGTCGACAGACTTGTCGGACACCCCTTGAGGTTGCGAAATCAGATGACAGTTCACCACAAGCTCTCACTCGACTGGTAGTGTTCGAGTTAAGAGCTTTCGCAAAATTCATGTACTTTTGAGGTGCGCCTTCCAATGAAAGACACTTTCACAGAACCTCTCGCTCTACAGAGTCAAATGCTGCTTTTAAGTCAAGAAAGACCATCATCATCATTTATCTATTTGAACACATAAATATTGGTACAAAGGGGCACCGAATACATATGCGCCACACAAGTCGCTTGATTTGTGTGTGGCTTGTGATACTGCTCGGGTGCCCAGTCTAAAGCAAGTGGAAGCGTGGCCATAAACGAAGAAAAGGCAACGACGTGTGTCCCTATCCTTCCGAGGTCATTTAGCCGAACAGCACATAGGTAACCGTTAACAGGGTTCCATTCTGAAAGTGCTTGCTCTTATGTCATACTTAGTGCTACTACCTTGTATGTGTGTTTCGGAGACACAATATACATCAATCGTATGAGATTCTAGGATTTTAGCCAAAGGCATGCTGGCTGATTCGACATAGGGTACGTAAGTTCAACGCTTCAATGTGTAGTTTGGACCGAGGTTTCAGTAGACCTGGGACAGTGTTTTGAGCACTAGAATCGTTGGCTATGGTGACACATGAGGAGGAAGTCAAAAGAAGGAGGTTTAGGGTTGAAAGTCAGCGTAGGAGAAATAACAAGAATTGAAGAGGGAGATAGATTATTAATACAGTGGTCTTGAGTGCTGTTAGAGGTATGAGGGTGGTTATCACTTCCCGGTTGCCCACACCGTGGAAGGGTTCTTCTGGAGGTACCTGAAAAGGAAATCGGGTTAGAGTTGGGCTTAGTGACCTGAGAGCATGACCGCAGTGCTCAACGAACAGCTGCTTGGGGACGGTCACACACGACCTTTTTGTGAGTAGTTTTCGTGTCAGCTCCGTATTTGTTGGGACTGTACTGCCGGAGACGGTGCGCGTGGGATAAGACGAAGTGTGCATTTTAAGGGTCAACCTTCACTAACCCCACCCTTCATTTGTGGGAAGGTAACATCGCTGTTATTCAGGTTATCTGAAGGAAACACTTTACTTCCATCACATCTCTGTATAGTCAACAGTACGACTTCACCCTCAGACATTGGGTTTGATTATTTTAGTTTTTCCGCTCTCCAACCGATCTGCCTGGCATGGTAGGATCTTGACGAACGATTGTTCCAGCAAATATAACCTGATTGGCTCATCGCAATAGGCAAGCCCGACCACTACACCAAGGTAGCAACTACTACCGTATATTTCAATGTAAAACTGTAACAAAAACATAGCAACACTACGAACGTACGCAAGTACATTTCCATCTAATGGAACAGAATATACGAGTACAGGAAGGAGGTTGATTTATATGGTATGGAAAAACTTACATAGCAATTTTGTTAAATAATCACAAAATGAACTTGGCAGCAAATGGATGTTCATAGTCTAATGTACAATTCAAGCCATATTTCTTTAAACTAGGAAACTTCAACAAGTTCCTCTACAGTAAATTTTATCAGTAAACTGAATTTAACCATGAAAACTTTATTATACCTAATACAACTACAATGATTACACACAGAATATATCACCTGGGGAATTATAAACACTTGATAATATCCTTTCTATTATTGTATTATTGAATAAAAAACCATTTTGTAATAATAACAGTAACAATGTATATTCTGTGGACTTTTAAAAACACTGTACCAATTTATAGACATGACCAAGTTTCTGTGTTTAAATAGTATGTATAATTGTATGAATTAATTAAAATGCTACCTTTATAGATATATTAAAGCTTTTAGAAAAATGATTGTACATAGATATTTATGAATTGAATAAATTCATCGTAGATAATATATAGATAACCCTTCTTTTATTATAAATGAAATGTGTTTTTTAACTGACTAAAATTGAACGAAAATGTCAAGTTAATGTGTAAATAGGTAATAAATTTTACACAGAAAATAAAATTTAAAATAACACATAGGTTTGATGACTAGTGACACAGAAGAAAAACAAAACAAGAGACAATGAGTTCCTGACACATTTCAAATTCAGCAGATAAAAGATTGTTTTGTAAACAGATGGATGGTAGCTAGTATTTGGATTCACGACGCCCGTTTCGTCCTACTTGGGGGTCATCAGCTTGATGTGCCTCGACTCCAGAGTTGACGTTCACTCCATGACTCACACCCAGTACCGTTCGCCTGAAACGTTATAGCGTTATCCAATTCACTACTGAGCCCAAATAGCCACCAGCTTATGCAGTGAGGTGAAGTTTGACAAAGGTACATACAAGTAGAACGAAATATGAGTCCCCTGTTAGCCACCATTCATTATAATGCCTGTGACTTAGGAAAATATCGAGTCAATCCGCACAGAATGAACATCTGACAATAAGAGAGACTGATCAATTGAAGTCCTAAGCGTCAATGGGAAGATTCAGACAATCAACACAAGATGAATCAAAAGATTGTTTTATTTACATTAAACAGAAATCCAGTGTTTCCCCGTTTTTTACGGTGGTCTAGCTTAAATAGACTTGAGATTTCAAATGTGATCACAGTCATCTAAACAACTGGTTTACTTCAGTATGTAAGGTATGGTGAAATTGTATATTTCTTGGCAAGTCTACAAAAATTTATTAACACGAGATGGTGAAAAAAGTATGGAGCAAAAATATATATCACTTTTGATAGAGGGAGTTAGTAACGCCCAAAGGTTTTAATTGAATGTCATAAATAAGCTTTCAAGATTTCAAACATTAACGGCATAAGAATAGAAAAGTATTAATAATGCAAATGGTGCTAAAAACAATGCGAAATATAAATATCTAAATCCGTTTTAAGAAAACAGTATATACTGGGAACATTTTGAAGAATTTTGAAAGTAGGATCTCACGAAAATGACTGGTATCGATTAGCAAATGTTGAGAACTAAATCTCTTAAGTGAACTAGGGATAGAGAAAAATCACATTTTAAAAGTCATTCGTCAATATGTTTTGTGCTTTGGTGTCTGAAACATTTCAATTAATGTAACGGTGTATGAATAAAAAAACCGTAGATCCATAGCTTACCTCTCGAACCTTATCTCGCATAGAGGCTACTCTCTTATTTGCAGGAACGCCACCTTGAATTTCTTCCTTGGAAATAAGTGTTCCATATTTGAAAGCTGCAATTGGCGAAAGATTTTTAGAAATAGGAAGTGTTTGAGTAGGAAGCTGTTTTGCATTTTCTAAAACATCAGATTCTATAGGTATTTGTGCAGGTGGTTGGATTTGACGAAAATCCTGGTCAGACTCTGGAAGGTTAGATGGAGGTCCGATTATCGGTGGCTTTGGGAATTTAGGAACCTTATAAAGAGAAAAATTACACGGAACGATTTCTTTAATATTGAAATCGATTGTAAAAAATATTGAATGAGTAGGCGTTTTTGGTAATGCACTGGAAATATAGTAATATATGAATGACATACTGAAACAACTCCTGGAAATAATTATCTCCTTTCGAAATGCTAAATTTACTCGTGAAATGTTTATAAAAACTGTAATGGTTACAAAATTGTCAGAAAAAGGTCGATCTAAGTCTCAGTGAGTATACAACTAGTCATTGTATAGGAATTTTAACGGTAAATAAAAATTCGCAGTACCTTGAATACGCTAACAGGGTTTTTAGTGTACTAAAAGTGAATCTCGTAATGAGTGTTTAGCAATTTTGGGAAGAATTTAGACGACTTAGTGTCAAGTTAAGTAATCAAAAGAAATAACATCGAAAAAAGTAATTATCAGAGAAAAATCTAATATTTCTAAATCTGTACGAAGATAAAACTCAGTACAAAACTTAGAAATCTAAGATGATTGTAGTACTTAATTTCAAAATGTTTCATACACTTTTTTTGAATTTTATGACCGAATGAAACAAGTTGGATTGAAGTTTAACTACTTTGATCATTCCTTCCATCAACGAGAAGGCAAGATGTTCATCATCCATGTGAAGCACGGTTTCCATCATAGCCATAGTCGGCAACAGAACTTCATTTACAAACATCTTGTTTTAATTTTTACCGCTCTCGTACCGAGATGCTTGGTATGAAGAGACTACGAAACAAGTGTTACAATCAATATAACCTGATTAGTTTGTTACATTTGACAAGCCGAACAAACAAGTCAACTTAAAAGCTAAAGTATATTTTTTCACTGCAATTGATATTGTGATCATCTTTGTCCTAAATTTTATTTTGTTAGTTTCCACCCTAGCTGTGCTACTTTGTAGTGTTGCGAATTAGATCAATATATGATTGTGCCAGGACGTATATTGTTTACGTCTATGAAAAATGGCTCTGGTCAATAAAGTTAAGCCAAATTATTACGAGGTAAACAGATTGCTGCATTAAGACAATGTAAAACTTCGGTTTCATATCTTATACACATGAACTGATCATATATGCATATAAACTAAGTAAGGAGAGCAATTCTTCTAAAAAAACCTATCGATTAATATGGACACAATGAGAAGGGAAGACAGTTAATTAGTTTGAAATACAATATTAAAAATAACTTCAGACTATGGCTACGTGCCGAGCAAAAATAAATATCCTATTTAAAAAAGGTTTGAAATGTACTACTCAGTGTTGTAGACAATAAAATTATAGATGCAACAAATCCTATTTTATGTTTAATGAAAAGCGTTCAACAAGATAACAGTTGGATTTTAAGAATAGAGGTTAAATTTTGTCACATCAAGAAGGCAATACCCGATAATTTGAGATTACTGACAGATTTTTGTAATATTAACCAGAGTTATTCCCCAAGTATTAATTGAGCTACGATATTGAGTCACAGCGGTGATTGTAACACAAATTTAGGACTTTTTTTGAATAACAGTAAGTTATTCTACATAGTATCTTATATGAAAATGGGGTTTATTGGCTGGATAAAAATCATTTCGTTTATATTAAGAGAATGACTTTTAGAAATGATTTAGTTCTAAACTGCACATAGGTCACTAATACTTCGAAATAACTGCAATGTTGAACAGTGAAGTTTACATATCCCAGCGGACAGGAATTTGAGCATAATCTGTTATTATTTTTTGCAGTAATGAGTAAATTCCACTAGTTCATCTATTTTGCCAATAACCATTGAGACATACGTGTTATGTTTGATTGTCAGGTGTATTTACTTATTTGACTCCTTTAATAAACTGAATGTGTGATTATATAAAGTATTTATCATTTTACGATTGCTTGTCGAAACCTATCCGCTTGTTTGAACAATCTTCTCAGAATCATAGTCTCAGTTTGAGGATACGATTGTCAGTACATCCTAATTCTGTGATTGGATCCATAGATATTTTACGAATTAGTATATTAATTTTTTGAATCAATGAGTGCTAACACTATGTTTAGAGCGTTCGACTTTAATCCACTAAGTTGCGGGTTTTAACCCCCCCACTCCACCTACTTTGATTTTGGGAACCAGGTAGTACCAACAGCCCACACAGAGTGTGGTTCAAAATTAGGTATACGAATCAGTACCTGGTAGATGGGTTAATACAATTACAACAAAGTACAGAAAAGTAGAAAGGTTTGATATTGATTAAATCAAGTCATGTGATAGATCGACATCACTTTTATTATCGACACAAGAGACCAAGTAGTGAAGGTTTAACAGAGTAGCACTTATACTATGTACCTCTTTGGGGATACACATTTTCTAATATTTCTCAGTCAACAGAAGGCGTCCCACAGATAGAACATAAACTAATTTTGACTGGCTGGATTATATTTATTTTAAGACATAGATATTAGTACAAGGAGACACCAAATACATATGCGCCACATAAATCTCATTCAATATGTGTGAGGGCTGTGATACTGCCCGAATGCCCAAACCGAAGCACGTGGTTTTCTTAGGAGGCCACTCCCGAGCCTTCGACCTGAAATTCTGATCCACAAGACAGTGGAGCATCGTAAGGAGATGCAGTCCCATGGTAGCCGGTGACAAACAATTGGTTCATACGCCATTTGTTCCCTCAGGATACTGGAGCCCATGTGCACGATTGGTTTGGAATCCGGTTAAGGCACCGGACATTCGCTTTTCGTCCTCTCAATTTCGTAAACAACACCCCCGCCACGAGAAGGCAGTGAGTAGGACTTCCCTGGCAGAGGCTATATACGCGTGGCCATGTGAGAGCATTTCGCGAGGGAGAGCGGACTCTCAATAAAGATATGGAGTTACACGTGTACGTGAACACTTATTTTCATGAACGGTACCGATTAGTAAAATGGATGCTCAAAATCACTGTTTCTTATAATTATCAGAAAAAATGCCCAAAGTAGAAATTATTCAGGAATCAGTATAGTATGTTCAAAATCCTATTACATTTATTTATAATAATATAACGAAGCTTATCATGCAATTAGAGACTTAGTAAATTTAAGCAGTAAAGATAGTAATGATAATTTTGTTTATATGATTAATTTATAATATTCGAATTCTATAATGATCACGTTCACTTATACATGACACTGGATTCAAATTCAACTACTGAATGTATACAACTTTAAAACGTGGTTTAAGTAATTTATTAAAAATTAATTGATTAACTCTTTTGTGAAATGAGTTTACTTAGATTATTAGTTAGAATAGATAAATATTTTCCATTGTATTTTAGTTCAATTAATCTTCTATTGGTGAAGTTGATAATCAGCGTTGAAGTCAAATAATAACTACTAAATTGAGATATGACATTGTTAACATAAATATGATGAATAGTTGGTTGATATAAGTGAGGTCTGTGTTTGGAGACTTTATTATGATACTGCTCTAAGTCACTTGCAATAATGCCTAAATATTTATTTTGTGGCGCATATATATTTGGTGCCCTCCTGTACCTATGTTTATGTGTTCAAATAAATAAATAAATAAAAATATTTATTATTTTCCTTTCTTTTAGTCTTGAATATGATAAGATTCAAAATACAATTTTATCGATTCTTCAGTGTCAAATAGCAATCTATTCTTATTGCTCATGATCACAGATGATGTATAAAAGGTGTCCACTTAAAGCACAGACCAAACGTTGATATTTTAAGTAATAAATCAATCAAAGATGTTCCAATAAATTTATGTTTAAGTAGCCATTTATTCACATTACTGAGTACCTTACTAACAGATATTGAAAATTACAGAGAACATTTACTTACCTCTTCATAAAAGTAGCTAAGTAAACTTGTTATGACAAAGATTATTATGACAACTAGAATTAAGTGAAAAATACGTCGACATCGGAAACTTCGGATTTGTATTTTCCTATAATAAAAAAAGAAAAAACAAATCAAGTCGGTTTGACCGCAAATCAACTAGTTGGATATTAAGGCACCCATCTTTGAGAAACAAGAATATTCAAGAAGTGAAATTTTGTTAAACACTAAACTTAGTTAAGCATAAACAAGCGACTGATCACGACGTTACAAATGTCTATAAAACCAGTAAAGCACAATATCGAATATATCTTTCTTTTCTATGATCACGCTAACTTGAATCACCACCCCTTAAAAGTTTGTTCAATAAATTGTTACATTCGTTATATAAGAAACTACATATAACCACTTATAGGTAAGTCAAGATTCTAATATATGACAAACAAATTGAAAGACGTTCGCTTAGATCTTAGTATTGTAGCCTCATGTCACTATGATATTTGAAACTCAGAAAAATGCATCTTTTGAATTTTAAACCTAGAGAATTGATTTGATAGAGTTGGATAGCACTAGAGCCGATGGTGCGTATTCAAACTTTTAATACCCATTTGTATGTTATGAGGACGGAGAACGTTGAAACCATTACAAGTATGACAAACTGGTATAATGATGAATGTGTGCTTTAATGACAAACATTTTTGTACAAAAGGTGAGTAAATTTGACTTAACAGCTAATTGGTCTTAGTCATTGAATAAAAAGTATAAGTATATGAAAATATCAACTACTAGGCTTTTATGAACGTTAAAACCGAGATGTGATCAGAATAAACCACCAAATAATACAATGACCACCAAATTAGAATTTACATTGTGCAGATATAAAAACACTAACACATTCATTAGTCGTTTCTATTGATGCTAAGACAATTTAATATGTATGGGTATTTGGCGTGATCTAAGTGATTGGCCAAAAAGGACAAGATCTTAAGAAAGGAATTTGAGTTATGGAAGTGGTTAAAATAAAATTCAGGAACGAGCGTCAGATTCTGTGTTTGCAGAGTAGATAAATTTACAGAATGCTAATTATCTGCCATTATAAGTTCTAAATTATCGTCATATAAAAAGAAACGGAAAGAGTAGAAATCTACATATAGAAGGGGTACATAGGTGAACTCATTTTAGAATGATAAACAAAAACGTGAAATACTGTGTAGATCAAAACAACAGAGGTTATTGTTTACAAATTAGACCGCATTATAACGAAAAGAATAACAGTTAATGGTTGAAGTTCTAGATTCACAGGGTGGTGGATGACGTTAGAAAATTAAAGAATGTTAGGTTCCACGTTATACGATTTCTAATTATTTTGAATGTGCCAACAGATAAATTATTCATCCTATTTACAGATGAGAAGAATAACACAACTACGTGTGACTGACAGTTAGATCTTTTTTGTCACTCAGTCAGGGATTTTCATCGAATATGATAAGTTGGTGAGTTATTCTTCGAACGAATGACATTGCGTTCGATAATATTATCTCCCATTACCAAACTAAGAATATTGCACTTATATATATATATATATATATATATATATATATATATATATATATAATTATATATATATATATATATATATATATATATATATATATATATATATATATAAACTACGCGAAGCAGTAATTCATAGCAAACTATGTGACGCACAAACGACTATTCGGAAACTATAAAAACATTGGTATCTGAGTGAGAATTACCAAATACACACCTGACAGCTCAAAAGCAAATAAAAGGCTGTAGATATTTTTTACGTCAAATTCTGTTAAGAATAAAACGCACAGTTGCATAAAACAGTGAATACCGAGTTTATAAAAGACTTTAGTTACAAAACCTGTCACTGATGGGACTGAATGACTTCAACCTTTTACCAAATACAAGTAAGGCCAGAAACAATTCTGAACCAAACAATTGTTCAATCATCTTCAAATACTAAATTTGTTTATGATGTGAATTGTTTTCGGATTACGATATATGGTGTTCTAAATGTATGCTATTCTTATCCGAATCTAATGATAATGTGAAAATTTAGGCCATGGCCATGATCACACTAGTCAATCTGTTATTGTCGTTAATTAAAAAAATACGATTATGTATGGAGTTTGTCAGTGTGTGTTGATTCAAATAGTCGTTGGTGTTGTATTATTGTGTAAATCAATGGTAATCGGATGAATTAAAGTAAAATAATTAACTAAATAATTGAATGTACTTTGTTAGGTATGAAAGGACAGAATATCACTTACTAATCAACATTTACTAAAGTGCACCTAGCTACATACCATCTCATCTATTCAGATTTTTCGGATTTATCTATGTATGAAAGTATTTGTTTAGCATAGCTTTGATCTCAAAGTCGATTTTGTGTTACCTATCTACTGAATGTATCGTTACTGGTGATGTCAAGCTAAATGATCATTTAAGGATTAAGAGTTTTAAACATCATTATATCCCCTAGCACTTACAATCAATCGCCTGAATGTCTCGCCGACATTACAATTACTGCATTTAGTTCTGTAGTTCCTATTTGGATATCGTATCCTTGATATTTACTTGTGTAGAATAGAGCATCAATGATACGAAAACGCAATTTTACATGTTTATTTGGAATTATGGTGTTCTCGGATTTATCTTGATGGTATGAGACGATAGTTTTAATCGAAACTGTTGGTGGATATTTTGATTTAATTCTACTTTCATGTTAATTACACTTCGTACAAAATATTTGGGATGATTATTTAGTCCTTAGGGTAGATATGATTAAATATTATCCAATCCATTTACCTTGTGGTTCGATAACAAGATAAAAACCTTTGATAATCAGATTTTTAGGAACTGTTACTTTTATTGGTAAAGCATACGTTGGAATTCATCCTGAATGTATTTCTAAATATGTTGGATTGAAGAAAATACCAACCTTCATGTGATATTATAATCTTTTTTAATTGACTAGTCGAAAATGCTAGTTTGTGGCTAACCGATTAGATCTTGTAGGCAAACTTGATGTTACTAGATATAATTTTCACATTATTTAAAAGGTCCATTCAATCCATCTAATTGCATAATGACTAAAATATTATCTGTAAACTGAAATCAGAATTTTTGACGGGACTGTGTACACTACAATGATAATACACCTGTTCATAGTAAATACATAAAACTTCAGATCGTCACAAAAGCTAGAGATCCCATTATAGCAAATTCTATTAATCAATGTATATCCCTTCGAAATATGAATGACACGAAATTTATGTACAGTGTTAAGCTTGTAATAAGCTCAAAGAGTGTCCCGAGTTACAACGCAAATTTACGTTTTCATAACATTTTAAATATTCTTAAATTATAACCAACGATTTCCTAATCGATGAATGAATAAATAAAGAGCAACCATTAAACATTCCCACTACTTCAATTTCTTCAATACGTGTTGAAGTAGTTTTATTCTTCAATTCATTTTAAATTTTGATTCCATAATTCATTTCTCTTTCATCAGGCTTGCTGATTTTGCCCGGGTATTTTGGACGATGTTAAGTCTATGACTTTGTGGATTAAATCACTTCCTGTGGGTTTTTAGTGTTCGATAAAATTTACAAAAGTAGGAGCCCCTAGATGACTATCTAAGTATATAATTATGATCGTGGTAATAGCCTAAAGTGTCACATAACCATTAAATTCGGATAAGAATGATATACATTTACACATACATTTAGAACATCATATATCGTAATCTGAAAACATTTCACATCATAAACAAATTTAGTGTTTAAAGATGACTGAACAATCGTTTGGTCCAGAAATTTCTTGGCCTTATTTATCTTTGATGATTTTGAATGCTTCGCTGAACAAGATTGAGAATCACAGAATAAAACGTTAAAACTTTCAAATTCCCTTCGCGGTGATTTCAAAATTTTAATTTCACATCTAATATGTGTCCCGTCGGTATTACTATAATACGATCCATAATTGAACATTAAGATCATGAAAGTATTACGTAAAGATATCCTAAAAAATTAGATCAACGGTCAACAGACAAATGTCCTATTGCCAAAAAAAACACAAAACATATAAGATTATTCATTAACTTTTCGAATTTTATGTGCCATAGACGAATGGAATAAAAAGTTTATTAGATACGCACACATAAACAAAGATTTACACACCCACTAAAGTAAAGCAGTCTCTTAAGCAAGCTTGATATAAGCGATTTAATGAAGTAAATAATTAATTTAAATCAGAAAAATTGTGTGGAATGAAATCAAAACTTAGGTCGAATTCAATTTTCTAAATTAATTCAAGATAAACAATAAGTATCATATATATTTCTCCAAATGACAAGTCTGAAAAGCAACTGAAAGTGCAAAAAACGAGAAGTTAGCATCACTTTTAGAACGTTCTAAATTTACAGCAGGAACAGAAGCTATTCAAACGAATGTAAACAAATACTATTTTAACCTAATTATATGTAATGCTACTCAGAGATTACGTCATATTATTGATTTTTCAGATTCATTTGTACATCTGTGTGTATTAGGTTACAAAGTATACATATATTATTTAAGAGTTATAGATGCTTTTACAAATGTGTAAGTTGGAATGATTATAAACATGTGATACACAAAAGCAAAAGTCATCTACATAGACTTCTAACTGAATCATACGTCTATAAAATCATTTTGGAAATAATGGAGCATAAAAAGCTTATAGAATTCGACAACCACGAAATATAATGCCACTCAGCATATGCATTAAGAATGAAAAAGCAATAGGCAATACCGCATAACATAACCAATGTGGACAATCACAAACAGCGTCTGACTTTCTAGTCACACAAAACGAATATTTAATTTATTGAAATAAGTGTGATTCTTCGTAGTGAGCAAATAGAAGTAATCGAGAAGTTCGTGTATCTGGGTAGCTGCATAAGTGCTGGTGGTGGCGTGGGTAATGAGATCAATTCACGTCTAGCGAAAGCCAGAGCGGCTTATGTCAATATGGGCCATCTTTGGAGCCTTTACGACGTTAGTCTGACTGTAAAAGTTCGGATCTACAACGCATCGGTGAGAGCAGTTTTGATCTGTGCTTATGAAACCTGGTCTCTTCGAGTTGAGAATGTTAAGTGACTCTCTTTGTTTGATCACTGCTGACATTAAGTGGCAACATCATGTCAGTAATACAAGGGTTTGGCAACGTGAGTTCGGGCAGTAACGATAATTGGATCGGTGTCACTACCTGGAAAAACCAAAGTCGGTGTCTCTCACATGTGCTACGAATGTCGTCCCAGCGAATTCCACATCACGTGTTAACTGCAGACGCTAGGACTGGTTGGATAAAGCGGAGGTTGTCATTACATGACATGCTAACGTGTGAAAGTGGTAAATGACAGTAACTTATCAGACCTTCACATAGCGTCTTAAGACACTACTAGATATGGCTAAGAATAGAACCCAGTGAGGGTCCTGTTGAACTTTTCTTTTTATTTCTTCACGTAAGTGAGTGGATCTTATTTGACTGAAAGGATCTTTTCGAACTGTATTCTTAACAGAACTGTTTCCCTGTTACTCTTTTTACGCTCATTCATTTATTTTTTATTGATTACATTGACTTCCCCTTCCTTATCTCTTTGCAATCGCACTTTCTTATTGCGTGGCGCATATATATTTTGGTACCCCTTTAGACCAGCATTTATGCTGTAAATAATTGTCTTTAGAAAGATTCCTTTGACATGAAAATAGGTTCTAATTTAAAAACGATCGAAGTCTCAAAACTAGAGTAACTTATTTATTTATTTATTTGGACACATGAATATTGGTACAAGAGAGCGCCAATATATATGCGCCACACAAAACAATGAAAATTCGAGAGGAATACAAAGAAAAAAAAGCTAAGGAGCGCAACAAAAAAAAGAGAACAATAACGAAGAGATTGGTGTAAGGTAATGTGCTAGTAATCAGGGAACGCAAAGGTACAATCGGAAGAAATCTTTCAGGTAAGGGAGACACAACCACTTTTTATGAAGAAAGTAAAAGAAGGTTACAGCAGGATCGCCACTGGCTTCTATTCTGAGCCATATCTGATAACGTCTCTAGCCACTGTGTAGCACCATCTCTCAGACCCCAACCAGGGAGTCGTGAAGGACCAACACAAGCCAGTCCTTTGCAGCTTTCTTTCATGCCACGACACCATGTCATGCACTGACCACCTCTCCGCTTCTTCCAACCAGTCCCAGAGTCGGCAAATAATGCACGACGTGGAATTCTCTGGGACGACATTCGGAGAACATGTCCAAGCCACCGAAGTCGGTGTTTCAAGATGGTGACACCAATTGAATTATCATCTCTGTGCCCGAACACACGATGCCGAACCTCTGCATTACTGACATGGTGTTGCCACTGAATGTCAGCAATCCTTCGGAGACAGCGATGATCGAACACAGAGAGTCGTCTAACGTCCTCAACTCGGAGAGGCCAGGTTTCACAAGCATAGAGCAAAACTGCTCTCACCGACGCGTTGTAGATCCGACCTTTTACAGCCAGACTAACATCACGAAGGCGCCAAAGGTGGCCCAGATTGGCATAAGCCGCTCTGGCTTTCACTATACGTGCATTGATCTCATCACTCACACCCCCACCAGCACTTATGCAGCTACCCAGATACACGAACTTCTCAACTACGTCTATCTGCTCACCATCCAGGGTGAGTACAGGATTGGAATCCTGCCAGTCTTGTAGAAGTACTTTGCACTTCGAAGGTGCAAAGCACATACCATACCTACGGACACTGATTGCCAACTGATTAAGTGCGGATTGCATGCCTTGGGCATTATCGCACAGTAAGACAATATCGTCCGCATACTCAAGGTCGAGAAGTCTTTCTCCAGGCAACAGATCCACACCACCATTACTTACATTCATCAGAGCTGTTTCCAGAATGTCATCGATGGCAAAGTTGAAGAGGAATGGTGAGATTGGGCAACCCTGCCTAACCCCACTGCTCGAATGGAACAATGGAGAGAGGTGGTTGTATGCCCTCACTCTGCCTGAGGTGTTTTTATATAGGGCTTTTAGGATGTTAATAAACTTCTCAGGCACACCCTTCTTCAATAGACAATCCCAGAGAACAGTCCTGTCCAACGAATCGAAGGCAGCCCTGATGTCAAGAAACACTACGATTGTTGGCCTTTGATAAGTATGGCGGTGTTCTAACATTTGGCGGAGGGTGAAGATATGATCAATACATCCTCGACCAGAACGAAACCCAGCCTGCTCCTCGCGAGTCAATCTTTCTCGGGTTTTGAACAACCTACGAAGAATGACGGAAGCCAATAGCTTGGACGCAATCGGAAGTAGACTTATCCCCCGATAGTTGTTACAGGAACGACGTGAACCCTTTTTAAAGATAGGGACAACTATCGACTCATTCCATGACGTTGGTACACTCTCTAGTTCCCAAACCTTTGTAAACAACGTCGTCAATTCCTTAGTCAAAAAGTCACCACCATCTTTAAAAAGAGCCGGAGGTAAGTCATCTGGGCCAGGTGATTTGTAACGCTTCAAGAGTTGGAGTTCCTTGCGGACTTCCTCCTCGTTTGGTGGATCAGTCGTCACCGGCCATGGAGGGCAGGACAGTCTGACCGATGTTGCCGGAGCAGCAGGCCAGTTGAACTGCCCTTCGAAAAATTCTGCCCATCGTCCAAGACGTCGATGGATGTTAGTGATTGGCATCCCATCATCCTCGCAGATTGTTTCACTCACACCAGACTTCTTGCTGCCAGTGGCTCGGATGAGCTGGAAGAGCTTCCGGTAGTTACCAGATGCAGCTGCTGCTTCCAGCTCATTAGCACGCTTCGACCACCAGGCTTCTCGGTCCTTACGCAAGCTTTCCTTACGTAACATCCTTCGTTTATGGTCAAACTCACGGTCACCCGGAGTAGACCGACGGGCTTCAATGAGTTGTAAGGAACCAGAAGAAACCCAGTGCTTAAAAGCGGGACGTTTCGCAAACCCACAACTGACTGTTCCCGCCATTTTCATGGCGTCATGCAATTGCAACCAATGCTCATCTATACTTTTCGGTGGAGTGGTAGCTAGCCTAGAGGCTAGCTCGGTTCGATACTTACTTGCAACAGAAGTTGCAACCAGCTTGCTAACATCAATCCGTTGATGGCGGTCACTTCGTTGTCCACTGAAAAGTAAGGCAAGATTGGCGCAGACCAAGGCATGGTCAGAGTCCAGATAGGTACTCCAAAAGGAGCGGCAGTCTTTACACAACCACGCCAGCGGTAGCTGATCGCGATGTGATCAATCTGAGTCCAGGCTTGAGATGCAGAGGGAGGACGCCAGGTGGCACATCGGCGATGACTGTGCCGAAAGTTAGTGCTAGCCAGAAACAGGTTGTGGTCTGTGCAAGTTGCAGTAGACGGTCCCCGTTATCTGACCTGCGACCAACGAGTCCCCATCGGCCACCTAAACGACTCTCTTCTGTGCCTAGACGCCCGACCTGAGCATTCAAGTCTCCGGCTAGTACTACAATATCTGTCGAACGCACTTTCTGGAGAAGAACAGATAACTGGTGGTAAAACTCATCCTTGATTGCATCCGGGCTGCAATCTGTCGGGGCATAGGCGGAGATGACGAAAAGACATCGTTTCTCACGCCGATTTCTTCTCACTTTGATGGAACTTTCTAATCTAACAGCACATAACCGACTGTTAATGGGGATCCAATCGACTAGTGCTGCCTCAGCTCTAGCGCTTAGTGCGACACCAACGCCAGCAAGACCAGACGAAGATGCCACAGGGTCCCCGGATAAGCGCACGTAAAACAAGCTTTTCGAAGCGACAGATGGAGATCGAATTTGTAGTACTTCGCCAGAGTCTTGAATACGGGTCTCGGATAGACAACAAACATCAATATTAAGACTTTCCAAAGACATAGCCAGCCCTATCTGTTGTCCGACCTGCATAAATGTGCGAACGTTGAAGGCAGCCAGTTTGAATGGTGCACGTGGTTTCAGAAAAACTGCTTCAGTACTCGTATTCGGTGGTAACATACAATTTTCAACCGGACAGTGACTCGAGAACGTTTAGATACAGTCGGATTTCCAAAGACGAGCCGCTGTATAAGTATAAAAGAGGGTGAATAATGTGAATAATAATAATAATAATAATAATAATAATAATAATAATAGTATTAATAATGACAATAATAGTAATGATAATATTTGAATCGACTGATTGTTTTTCGGAGCGAGAAAAGCAGTTGCCACAGACATAGAGTTCATCGTTTGTGTGTGGGCTGTGATACTGCCCGGGTGCCCAAACCGAAGCAGGGCTTACTGTTAGCGGGACATAGACTAGGTTAAAACAAGCTCAATGCACGATTGCTTTGGTGCACGCTGATTGGCTAACTCTTATCCAATCAGCACTAGTCGATAGTTGGAGAATACTCTAGAATCTTCTCATGTAAAAACTATAAATACACTGACGTTTTCCCTATTGTGCTTCTGGCTTGCATCTTGCTTCCATCTAACCTTGTTATTTGGAATATAATCTCTTTCCTGTTCAACCGTGTTCTGATTTGGGGTCTTGTAGAGTGATTTAGTGTCCAAGAATACTAAGCAATAGGAATAGCTGGGTCATAACCGTAAGAAGAAAGAGATTTATAACACTTACCTACTTCATAATCTCACCCATAAAGTGAATTATACGATAAAAACTCTCAGGAAACATCGTATTAACTTCTCATTCGCTATGAGACTAGAAAGGTTAATACGAGGTACACTATGTATTTAGATGTGAAAACAATGATCCTGGAGGAGTTAATTAATCTAAGCATAACACAAATATGTACCAACACAGTTGCTTATGAACGCGCAGAAAATTTAGACTTACATATTTTCCACTATAGATAAGGAGTCTGCATCCACACCTGAAATGGTAATTCATGAAAAACTTAAGTTATATTTAAAGCAATCGTAGATGACTTTGCTAAAATCGTTCATAAACAATGCAAGACCATGGAAATACGGAGTTTAAGTCAAATAATTCACATTAATGGAGAAGCATCTAAATGAGTCAGTTAGTCATCTATAACGTTGGGTCAGGCACATAAATGCATCGGTCCACACATGTCACACATCATTAGCACAACAACATCAACAAAGTCATTGAACCACTTATTTCAATGGTAGTAAAATATATGAAAAAAGATTGAATATAAGAATATGATGCAAGGAGAAAGAATTAGGTTGTAGAAAGAAAGGTACAAAGTGATTTTATTCTCACGGTTTAAGGGAAGACAGAGAGTGCATACACCTACACCATCCTCATCGATTCTGAGCAATGACACGAACAGTCTCCAACCAACGGTTTTAAGATAATTACGAGGATCTCAACAGAGAAGTCTGCATCTACCAGCATGGCTCAGACTAGAAGTTAGTGACCTGGTGGAATGATGCCACGTTTTGATCTGGCCATATCTAACTTTCTTCCATCCATCTCCAACACTAGTCAGCATTGCGCGTCGTGGTAATCGGTGTTCAGTTACACGTAACACGTGGCCCAACCATCTCAGTCCATGAAAATTCACAACATCATAAACCGATTTACTATCATTCCCTAATACTCAGAGTCTCACCTCACCATTACTTACTCGGTGATCCCAGCAAATGTGAGCGATATTTCTCAGACATCAGTGACAAAATACTAGTAACTTACGAGTATTATCTACCCTTAATAGTCACGTATAACAGACATAAAGTAAAACGAAACGAACAGATGCGCAGCATATTCATTCCTTAATTGATAAGCGAATATCTCGTCTTCGTCTTAGGTGACATAAGTTGAAAAAATCCAAACGACCTTTTTGAATCCATGTAGAAATTTCATCAGACACCAACCAATTAGAGTTGGTCAGACTTCACTCTCTATCCTTAGTTCAAGTGTTGATGCAGGTAAGTCCTGAAGCAACAAATTGAATTTAGAGGAGGAGAAACGCATCCCAAACATCCTTACACTGTTGCTCAGTGCTACCAAAAGACTGCATTTAATCAGCGTCTTCACCAAACACGACTATGTCACTAGTGTATTCTAAGTCGACAAGTGGACCTCCTGGAAGGGAATCAATTCCTGAAAATTCAATCGACGGGAACCTTATTTCAAGTAGTAGGTCTATGGTGAAATTGAACAGAAATGGAGATAGTCGACAGACTTGTCGGACACCCCTTGAGGTTGCGAAATCAGATGACAGTTCACCACAAGCTCTCACTCGACTGGTAGTGTTCGAGTTAAGAGCTTTCGCAAAATTCATGTACTTTTGAGGTGCGCCTTCCAATGAAAGACACTTTCACAGAACCTCTCGCTCTACAGAGTCAAATGCTGCTTTTAAGTCAAGAAAGACCATCATCATCATTTATCTATTTGAACACATAAATATTGGTACAAAGGGGCACCGAATACATATGCGCCACACAAGTCGCTTGATTTGTGTGTGGCTTGTGATACTGCTCGGGTGCCCAGATCGAAGCAGGTGGTTTTCTTTGGGAGCGACGCCCGGAGCCTTCGACTTATAGATCTGATTCACAAAGCAGTGGAGCAACGTTAGGTGATGCAGTCAATGACAGTATAGGGGGCTATTTGAATGTTCTATTCAGGCTGTTTTGAAATAGCGGGTAGTTGTAAGGTCGCTGAAGTGTTCCTTAAAGCGTTCCACCTATCGTTCTAAACACGAGCTGAGAGCAGATAAGCATCGTCTAACGTACATTTGAGTTATTAATCCCAATTTCTATTATTAGTCTGAAAAGCTGTCAGGTGTTACCTGCAGCCGCTGCCTTTTCCGTCTCTTTTGCTTCCGTTGCCAACCACTGCTCACGGTCGTTCTTTGGACTCTTGGTTAGCCTACATCTGATTTGTTTTCACTCTTTATCGCATTCAGAGCCTGATGGGATGAGTTTACGTAAATCTATCAATGCAATAGACTTAGGTGAAATCAACTGGTTTTTTGATACCCTATGGTTCAAATTGCTAATAGATACCGCTGCTGTTTGCACTTTATATATATATATATATATATATATATATATATATATATATATATATATATATATATATATATATATATATATATATATATATATATATAGTGCCCCTTTGTACCAATATTTGTTTAAATAAATCAATAAACATGAACCATTTCGAGTGGCTGGATTGAGAAATGAAATTATAAAGATATCATAACCAGTTACACTAAAAATGTAGCTTAAAAGAATCTAAGTAAAGGAGGGTTTTCTTATACAATCTCCGCAAAACCCCTTTCTGGTAGTACATATCTGTTACTCCAACAGAAAAGATACTTTCTTTTTGTAAACCAAACAATATAACTGAATAAATTCGTACTAACCATTAGTTATAATTAGTACAAAATGTAATGGAAGATCAGTAAACTGTTTATCTTAGCAATTACACCACAGATTGCACAGAGATATGTACTAAACTATTTATTGAGGTCTGATGATACTAAGATATAGAACAGACTGAAGGTACACATGGTATTTCTAATTCCGGTTCGTTCGCAGCTAATAAATGCTAAAAAGTGTTAGATCAGAAGCAAATTATGTAAGGGACTTAAATCCTAAGATAGTGGTCACAATTTAGATCACTTATCAAACAGTTCACGCTTGACAAGTGTTGATTACAACTGTCCCATATAAATAATGACCGAAAAAAGATAAATACTTCTACTTATTAGACGGTTTGCTTCTATTGAATTTCTCGACATAGATGCATTAAGTCACAAACTATCCTAAAAGATTGACAACCAAAATTAGACGGTTCTCACGATGCAACTAGAATTCTGGTTTAATGATTGTGAAGTTAAATATTAAACTGAGCATGATCTTTGATAACTGATGTAATTATTAACAACAGAACACAAAATGAACCAGAATGCGCAAGAACTTAAACATACCTTGCACCGGTTTTAGATTCCGCGCTTAGACCAGTTTATTATAACAACTACTTTGATGGCATTAAATTCATTAACTCAGCTGAAAATATCGTTCAATTGAAATTATAATTTCATTTGTCTGGGTTTGAGAATATATATATATTTGCTGATGACAGTACATTCAATCTTCAGTCCTCACTAATAAAGATTGCAAATAGGCAGATTCATTTTCATATATTTAGTTTGTTTTCAGTCACACATCCGCAACAGGACACGAGTGTGTATGCCATGCTGCCCATCCCTTCCAACTACTAAGCAACATAGATCAGACGTTTCTCGACATATCGATGACTTTCCAAATATATCTTCTAACTCCTGCATTTCATACATCTGATTTGACTAGGTTGTGATACTTCGATTATAAAGGTGTTGCGTGTAAAAGCGTTGTCAATCTCCGAACAACTAACGCATCCTTAGTGATGAAACCGACTCGATAAACCGGAAGTCTGTTCCCTGTTGCAACATTGTATACCACTTTGCTATTTTTATCTGTTTTTCGTACCGTAGTATTACTGTGGTATTTTCGATTCTGCGACGCAGAAGCTGACTTCCACCGGCACGACGTGATATGTTGGTGTCCCCCTATTTCTCGCAGTAGTGAAGGCACTAATGCGCAACAGAAATATTGCTATGTATGTAAGGAACCTTTGCCGATGTCCTTTTCGACAGCTCTTCTTACTAAATCTTCCCCAATAGGTGCAGACGGTTCCTGTCTCATCGAAAAATAACTCCGTAAAAGAACTGGCTGCATATGCTGACTCGATTCTGAAAATCATCAGAAGTCCCGGCTTCGAAATTTAGTCTTTCGAACGAAATTATCAAACGACACGATATGATAACACAGATCTTATTACTATTACCATTCGTTACCTCATTGTCCTTCATAATTACAGACCCTTCAAAACTCCTCGAAGGAGCTCGTCACAAAACTGTCTGTCTTTAGACCACGAGAGAGATAATTTTGAACAATGCCTGTACCACAATAAGTGTGGTAAGCCTTCTAGGAATCTCGGAAAACTTTGTAGTTTCCCAACCTCCAAGCCGTCTGGCACGGAAAACCTTACGGGAAACTTCCCCATCAGCAACTCTAGCCTGAAAATATAGCCGTCAGGCGACCACGCGATGATGAAAGTTCGCCATCTCGCCGATACTGGCGCAGAAGTTAGCATTCATTTAACGAAGTCCGACGACTGTCTGTATAAGTCGGTCTTTAACTTGCAGACGGCAGTCGAAAAACCCAGTGACACGTATAGTTATTGATATGCTTATATTAACGTGGGTTCATTCAAATCCGTTCATTAAAATTTCGTTGTTTCATGTGGTTCTATCCCAATCACTGATGTAGATATCCTACAACACCATAATCCAATCATCAGTCCTAGTAATCGAAGTAGGCAGAAATACTAAATTATCTGTTTGTTATGTCCAGTCACTTTTAAGCACACAAACTTTCCATACTCTCAACAGATACTCGACGAGTACCGCGGACTGTAACAGACACTACCTAAATAACTAATAGTGATCAGCAATGCTACTCACTACATCACGGCTACAGGACCATTTTTACTTTCAAAATAACTTCGACCAGCTCATGAAGTGCTAAGGTCGGCCAAAAAAGAATTTGGCTATATGATAGACTTGGTAATTATTCGAACATTGAACAGCCCATGTGCATCTCCTTTGCACAAGTCTCCATAAAATACATCAAAAATTGACGTACAATTGATGAAAACCTCTCTCAGGCAACACTTCTAGAATGGCTATCATCACTCGCTTTGGCTGTACGAGTTTTAGCACAGATTTGTCGGTTTGAAAATGCTGCGAAAACCTTTCAGGAATTAATCGAGGACTTATTCAAGGGTCTTAACTTCGTGCACACGAATGCAGACGATTACTTGGTTGCAGGTCCGGACATGGAATGTCATCACGAACGTCTATACTTGTTTTCGAAGGACTTCGAAAAATGGCCTTTTTGTAAACACTCAAAAAGTCAGGTCGTAACTCACTCTCTGGACGTTCTTGGGTGAACTGTTGACTCAAGGTATTCTTCCTCTGAAAAGCAATATAGCGGCCGTTCTTCATTACACAAAACTGGCTACAGACAAGTAATCACGCACGTTCCGTGGACTTGTAGGTTTCTATCAACGATCCATAAGGAGTATTGTAACAGCTCAGGTTGGTTGGTTAAGAGTTGACCTCAAACAACCAAGCATATGCTAAAACAGTATTGTTCAAGTATTCATTCACTTCCTAATTTTTTATAGGCGTTATATTCCCTATTATCTTATATTGAATATTGAGAGCCTTTGTTTGTCTGAACAGATAGTCAAGAACTCCACTGTGACTGTGCGAAGATCGAAATAAAGACCTATTCACTACTTGTCTGGTTTCTTCTATCAATAGCACGAGGGATACCTTAAGGCACGAAAGTATCACGTCTTTTATGAAACCTCTTACAGATGGGCCTCGTGGAGTAAAAAAATAATCTATTTATACAACACAGAAAATCATTTCTCACAGTTGAGAAAAATGTCGTAAAAGCAGCTACGCACGCACACTAAGATATCAAAGTACCACTGACACTGCGTGGACGTACCCAACACTACAATAGATTAGTCTTACAGCAGTGGATAAGCAACATATGCTAACCTCTAGCATTTTTCCTGATACGATTGAAAGACGCTGAATCGAGGTTTAGCACACTTTAAAGGAACTCGTGGCTACGTGTTTCCTGCACAGCATTTTTAATCTGTGAATACTTGTCGCATCTTCATTTTTATGAGTTTCAATCGTTCATCACAAAAGAGTTTGGAAAATCCATCCCCCAGCTTGTTCTCACGAGATGAACACGCTCAATCATGTATGTAACCTGATAAATGTAAGATCCATTTTGAATGCTTTGTGTGTTTGTGAAAATCCCTCCATGTATATACTTGCACTTTGTTCCTATTGATCCTCTTAGTTGTACAATGTTAACTTTTGACTACAGTTGAATTGTTAATATTTGTATTTTATTATAGTTTTCGTTTTTACCACACCTTCACCAATTCCCCATGTTTCTTCCCGAACTGCACTTATGTTGTTTTACTTTATACTGAGTCTGGGCGGCAGTCATTTTGGTTGGTTCCTGCTTTTGATTGCTTGAACTGTGTTGACTGGAATTGTGCATTTTGGTTGTGAATTGAAGCACTCTTCCAGAATTGAAAACACTCTGTGTTATAGAGCGACCAATCATTACCTTTTGAACGAATCTGTACCTGATCTATCCAGACAGGATAGAATAACATTTACTTGTGGTGATTGGTAATTTCTTGCATCCTTTATCAACTTTCTTATTTATTGTAGTTTAGATTTGATCAATTGAACAATTATTGGTTGGATAGCTGAGTGGCTATATTTGTTTAGGTAATAATGTACACTTAAATTTATGATAAATTATAGAACCCTCATCCCACTCAATTACTTTGTTTTGGTTTCAAACGGGCGAGAGCGCGTATCTGACTCATCCAGACAGCTGTCCGGCAGTCCAAACCATAGTTTGGATCTTACATAAAGGAATAGGGTAGCTGCTTTGGTGCAACATTCTAAGTGAGGTTTCACATGACTGGGTTTTTTAAATTTAAAAAATAACTTTCTCAGTGATTACGAATGCCCGGAGAAGTGACCGTAACACTTGAACGCTCTGAACCATTACCAAACTCAACTAGCAGTTGTTTTGAGCAATGATTTATTATAATTAAATGGCTTGATGTACTATAGTATTTTCGGTACAATATAGAGTTTTCGCTATAAGGTATTTCAACAATATTTTACAAATAATGAAAAAATGAACCTTGAAACTGCATAAATATATATAACTTGAGTATATAAACTGCCTGAAATTAAATGAAGTGTTTATTCAAAAAGTTGGGTCTGGACAGCTTTTCAGTTAGAACTTCGTTTAGGAACTCAAGGGTATGTAAATACGTAGAAATCGGCATACATACAGTGGAGTCATCCACATATTTAATAAGAGTGTTTTCTCTGGAATATGGCAGATCATGCAAAAAAAAGAAGAGGAAAAAGAACAGCTCCTTTTGGCAAACCTTCATGAGATAATAGAGACGCCAATCATTTTCCTCCAAACACAGTGCATTATTCTCTTCCAAAGAGGTAGAAACATAGCCAGTTGGTTATTCAGCTGTTGGAGGTGACGCCGAATAACTGTTAGGAAGCAGAAGTGTAGTATAGAAAAGGGTATCGAACATATTTCTTACCATTTTCCAAGCTTAACACTACATTGTGATTCAGAATAACAACAGCATCTAAGGTTCTTCTTTTGCATTTGTGAGCGAAGTGATACAGATCAATGTGCTCTTTCAGTGCAAGTTGTTACGAGAGATAATTTCTTAGAGTATTATTGTCTTCCCCCTTATTTTGGATATGAAGTTAGTTAAGAAGTATTTGTTAAATATGCACAAATAACAACTTATTCTGTAAGGCAATAGATGATGCAGCTTTTTACATACAGTGGTAAGACATATTAGAAAGGACGGTTGTTGGTTAAATATTTATTAAGACTAACCAAGACTAATAAGTATATTGCAATTGCCATGTCTGACTGTTTAGTCCATGAGATTCCAGAGAAACAACATTACTGGACGTGATGTATATGTCTGAGAAGTGTGCTTTACACTTAGTTGAGAACAGGGTAAATACGGAACGAGATCTGATGCATATCAGAATTCAACAAGTAACTCAGCTAACTAAAAACAGTACACCATCAGACCATATGACGTGAGGCGATAATTTAATTTCCAATGCAAGTAGATTTATAAGATCTCAATATTGACTTTGACCGTATTGGTTCTACTGTAAACACTCTTGGCTTAATTCACTAAACCAAGCATTCTTACTAGATTTAGTTTCACCACAAAGCAGAACGCTTTGTTCTATAATTAGTCGACCTAGATATTACATACTACAATTCATCATCCAATAAATCAAATAGACCTTCCTCCCAAATGATTTATGCTTATTCTGGCTTTGAGATCTTTTTATTAGAAAGGATGTGAACCATGGCATTGTCAAATTCTGACTAAATATAATCTTCAGGTCAGATCAACTTACCTAGATGAACAACTTTCATCCAATTCACATCTTCCAGTGTGGACATCCCAAGGATAAGATTGGATTATTCATTTGGTTTTAGGAGAGATTATTATTGTCTTAAAATTATTGATCGTCTAGTCTGGATAATATGTTTGAGTACTCGTGTCACGATTCCGCAGAATGTGGGAGGGGCCTTATATATAAAACAGTGTGTTGTTAGACTGTCTGTCTTACCACAAACAATCCTTTTAGAAATTAAACATTAGGTACAGCTATATGCTTGTAAATAAAGTTGATGTGAGAACCTTGGTTGACGTCCCACAATTTTAAAACAAAATAAGTTCAAAATACCCTTTCCTCCTAAGTAAATGCTCCAAGCAACTTCACTAGCTCATTCGATATATCCTCCTCACACTCTAGCAATCAAAATAACGAGCTGATGAAGAACAACTAATCTTCCATTCTAACCGGCATCAGACCCTTGAGGGTGGCAACAAATTTCATCGAGGTACTCTCACCCATTTTAAATCAGTAGGTCATTTGTTTGATATGTGGCTTATCAACGCTAAGTCGATCTGCAATAAAAAGCCGGACTTAACCGAGTTTGTATCCATTTATGGACTATCACTATTAATGATATCTGGAGCATGGGCTTACAGTAATATTTCCGACCTAAGTTTATCTCTTTATAACTATATATATATATATATATATCAAAGTGGTGGGTTGAAAGGACGAGGTGGAGGGTGCATTCTTTACGCTCACTCTAGCTTAAACTCGCTATTACCAGATATGCCTCAACTAAACAAACTGTGAGATTCATTGTGGGTTGTTTGAAAGACATCAAATTTCATTACCTTACTATTCGGGTGTGTCTACCGTCAATCTAATGCATTAGTAGGTGAAATAGCTGTATTACCAGAGGTTTTCACACTAGCATAATCTCTTCCGTTCACAGGCGAGCTTATTTGTTGTGACTTCGACATACTTGAAATTTCTTGGTTTCCAGTCAAGGCGCCGAAACGTTATGAATCATTTCTTAAATGTCTAGAGCTTGGACAATGGACTTAGTGTTTTAGTAGCCGTATCAGACATCAAAATATATTGGACCTTAGATTTTGCTAGTGGCCTCACCCCTGTGTTTCCAGGTGCTGGTCATAACATTACCATACGTAGTCTTAATATAAATACCGCAATCGAAAGACGCAAAACTTTAACACTTCGTAGAAACCATCACAAGGTTGATAGGAAAAAGCTTCCAAAATTACCTAAGAAGTACTGATTAGGGAACCTTGTTTACTGCAAACAATAGCAACACACTAACTAATATATTCTATCACAACATCATAAATATCTTCAACAAAATTGCACCTTTAGAATGCTGGAAAGCTAAATTTTCTAAAGATCGGTATGTACCGGTCAATACGCGAAGACGTCTCCAAAGACATTGTACTCGATTTTACTACCTTAATGACTTTTCTTATTTAGTTACTATTACAGAAATATTTGTCCAGGCAGAGGCAATACGTACACAGAAAACAGTCGCGCAGGAAAAGCATGCTGTCAAACTTAATAATAACTCCGCCCTACTTATCAGACTCTTTTAACACAAAATTGAACGTACTACGAAGATCGTAAACTTGTTACGGAAATATTTAATGATACTTTTGTTCCTCGTAAGCTAACGAAAAATCACTAAATGAATCAGAACGAATCCGAGTGTCTTTCTGTGAAATGACTAATGTAGGCTTCAATTTACAGAATATATCTAAGACAATTAGCATGGTGAAACACTCCGACACGGATGGATCAGATGGTATTCCGGCTAGCATGCTTATAATTGGAGGTGATTATATGTGTGTTTTGTTTCTCAAACTATTTGCAATATTAATCTCTAGAGCATGTTATCGTACTGCCTGGAAAACTAGATATATCATTCCCAAAATTATGACAGGACCAGAAGCAAATGTTGACAATTACTGGCTCATAAACATAACCTCAGTGCTACATAAAATGATGGAACATGTATTTAAGGCGGCGGTACCTCAACATGAAATCATTAGTAATCCCATCTTGGCCTCCCAACATGGGTTTGTTAGGTCCAGATCATGCGATACATGCCTAGTAGACTACCTGAATGATAAAAAGTTGAAACGGAAAAATGGACTCCTTGTATCAGTCTTATTATTAAACTTTAAGAAAGCTCACACAAAGGGCTTCCAGTCAAAGTAAAGCCCTTTACAATCAACAACACACTGTATTCATGTTTTGCTTCATTGTTAACAGAATGTAAACATGTTTTAAAGTACAATGTCTCTCTCATCACCTAGATCGACATCTAGTCGAGTCATCCAGTGAAGTCTATTAAGTCCACTCTAGTTTCTTGTGTATACAAACGATGTACGTAACACCATAAAATTTTGGAAACCAAACGTATACGCTGATGACTTCAAAATAGTATACATCTCTAAGCCTGAGACTCTAAGTAAAAGTGTACCTCAGATTCAAAGTGACTTCAATAAACTATCTGTAGCATAAAATGTCAACTACCGTTTAACCACAAAAAGTGTGGGATCATGCTTTTTGTAGACACATCCATATGAATTAAACTTTACTTGAATAAAAGTAGAGTTCAAACACTGAAATCGGTGCACGACCTGTAAATTAATTGCACAAGGAGCGCAAAATTCGAGGAGCATGCCTCTTTTATCATTTCTAAATCCAGACGACCAACTGGTCCCATAATGAAATATTTCTTCACATCAGAGACTAAGTTGAACCTTTAAAAAAATAAGTACACAACCCCCCTTGAATATCGCTTTTTTATCTTCTCAGACATGAATAGCATTAACAAGACAAGAGTAGATATTCAGAGACGCTTCTCGTGCCCACCACTAGGATGTGACTCCACTCTTAAATACATACAGATGTAAGCACCTGTCCTTAGAATCTTTGGGGTATCGTCAGCTAAGGAACAAAGCAATATATGGACTCGCATTACTAACATCCTGCCGAACTATGATCCATGACTCAGTCTACAGATTCCGAAACAATGCCTATTCACTGCTTAGAATAAAACATCAAAAGCCGATGCGTCGTAAGTTTTTTTCACAGTGCGATATAGTTTATTGTGGAACAGGTTGTGAATAACTATGCGTAACTGTGACACTATCACCAAGTTTAAAAGCCTGATAACACTATTGCTTGACACTTAAGAGCCTCATCAACTGTTCCCTGAACTTCCACCCAGCAATGGGTGCTTTATTATGGACCGCCTAATATGTAAGCCGATCATGAATGTTACGGACACCATTTTCACTAATATATAACCAAATGAAAAAACACATGGTTTACACTCTTCCATCATACATTATTATAGGTAATATCCTTATGCTCCCATTCCACAATTTCAGACTCCGAATCTCTTTAATGGTTAGTTTTTCGTTTCTGATGATGAATAACTGTTCAGTTGAGACTAAAACAAGGTAATTGGGTTGTAGCGGTAAATAAATCCCCAAAATAAATAGCTCTGTAAGTTTTCGACATTGGATGCTGACTATATGTTTTAGTGGACTCATCTAGCTGAAGGCGCTCGGTCATGCATCCGCACGAGATCACGTGTGGGAACGCTATGCTCAACATCTACCGCAACCGCTAGCCAGATTAGATCAGAGAATTCCGATATATTGATAATCGCCAAATACACTCTTCCGATCTCTTCGACTCTGTCTTTTAATTTCTCTCGGTGGGTACAAATTATATTAGGTGTTGCTGGTGAAAGCGTTGTCAAACATTGAATACCTGTGTCATCTTCAGTGTAAATGACAGTCCTAGATTTCATTATAAATATAAATGTACATTATTACGTAAACAAATATTACCATCCAGTTATTGAACTAGTAATTTTTCAATCATTAGTCGAATCTTAATTGCAATAAATAAACAAGTTAATATAGGATGTAAGAAAATTACCGAGCGCAACAAATGTTATTCTATCCTTTCTGGATAGATCACGTACAGATTTGTTCGAAAAATAATATTCAGTTGCTTTACAACACAGTGTTTTTTATTCTGGAAAAGTGCCTCATTTCCAATGCACAATTCCAGTCAATGCGGGTAACACAACCAAAGCGAGGGGGAAAAATCAATATAGCTGTCTACAAAACTAAGTGCCGACTAAAACAACATAAATGCATGGAAACTTCATGAAGGCGTAGGAAAAAGAAAAACTATAATTAAATACAAAGATTACCATCTCAAATCAAATCAAATAGACAAAGAATATGTACAACTGAAGAAATCAAAAGGAATAAATTCCAAATGTATACATGGGAGGGTTTTATCAAACGAAACCATCAAAATGGAACTTACGGTCTAACCAGTATCTTTAACTTATGCTATTAGTTATCTTCACAGCACTGTGGTATACCAAATGGATGTCTAACCCACATTACAAAGGCTTTAGCCATCTAGTTTGCTTGTAAAACGGAACTAGCAGCGATATTTTATTCCACCAAAGGGCTTAGATTAAAGCAACATTCTTACGCACCATAAACGTAAGAGAGGTTAACATAACAAAAGAGGGAGGTTGGTGTGATAAATAGATAACTTCGATCCACCCATGTCTGTTGGGCAGAACATTTAGTTAAATTACGGCTCCTTACGGTGACGTGGGATGCCACGAACAAATGGTATTGATGGTGAATCAGCATAAAAAATACTTCGTGAAATCGTGTCTGTGACGCTGAATTGGTTTCACTTTTACTGAGTAATCTTAGTACATGCAAAACTAGACAATTCGCTGAGAACTAGACCTGCTCATTACTCTATAAAATCTATGAAAATATAAAATGAACTGAAATAGTTTCGACAAAAACGGGAGATAGTCATTTGTGTATCAGAACACTGTTTCCGGTTTTACATTTTAAAACTTCACATAATCCTACAGTTTCAGCTTCTTTTTGAACCACGTCAATTTATACAGTTCTTTTTCCAGTCATACAATATATACGCCTTTTTTCTCTAACCCATCAGAATGCTCTTTCTTCGAAGGTACATTAATAA